TTTGTTATCTCCAGGAACAATATATGCGATTGTTCTATTATGGTATTATAAAAGAGAGATTTGGTAAACTATATATCCAAATCCTATATATCATTTGATCCTTATATTGGTTGATCGAAGAAGAGTTATCTCTTACATATGGTGATATAAATGTTTCATAAAGAAACAAAACAAACTATAATGGGCAAGTCCCGAATGTCTTTCGTTACACTTTGTGATCCACCATATCTCAAGTACTTGTGGTTGTGAACTATTTTCAAATGAAATGATCCTGACGATCATGTATGAAGAAAATCTAAAGATCATGCATCAAATTGACAATCTAGAAGATTGTTCACTAACTCACTCCCGACAACAATCTTTCTAAAAGTTGTTTGTGAAATTTGAGTTCAACGACTCAATAATCTGAAGTGATGTGGTCATGAGGGGGAGCATATACGCACTGCACTCTTTTTTCCTTAACCATGGTTTTTTCCCAATGGGTTTTCCTGGTAAGGTTTTTAATGAGGCAGTATGATATAGCATAATGCAATCTAGTGGTCATCCAAGGGGGGGTATTATGTAAATATTAATATATGGATGACCAATGACCTACCACATTAGATGCTCACTTGGGAGTTACATGTAACCCCTATTTCTACATTATTATCTCTCATTCATATGCATTGATATAAGGATGTAGTGGTTACCAAAGTGTGCCTATAAATATAGCACACCATTGTATCAAATGTGAAGAATGAATAAGAAGAACTCTTCCCCTCTCTTCTCTTGTGTCTTTTCCTCTCTAATCTTCTCTTGTAGTTGTTTATATTTTCATTAGTTTCATAACAATGAATGTATTTTATTAACCTTTTAGAATATGAGCAGTCACACGTTGATGTGAGAAAATACTCATTAATTCAAATTTTATGTGTTATTTTCGAATATTTTATTTTTATCAAATGGCGCATTTCTTCATAAACATGAGTTCACCAATATAGAATGTGTGGTGCTCGTACTTGTGTGCATGCCATTGAAATTTAAGTCTGGTACAACCCATGAAGCATTCATGCTTGTACATGGCCGATCCATATACATTGTCTTCATGGTATGCTCTAACTGTGTTGGGCTAGCTCGACAACGTGTCTGGGTATAGTTATATACAGTATAATAATTAAGTTTCTACCTATTCACAACACCAAGATAAAAATCGTCATAAATGCACCCAATATTCGATTTTGACTACCTGATGAAATACTACATTTGAATAAACTACAACTGATGTCACAAATAATAATTATACCTCTAAATCATACATAAAATATTTCAAACATCACAAAGATTAATATGAAATCAATTATTATAAAGAGTAAAAATTGTATAATGACCTTAATTATAATTTATTTATATGTTAATGCACTATAAATTGATGAACACATCTGATCCAAAACTGACGAAATGAACATCACATTAAACTCGATATCATCTCATTATTGTCAGGTCCATTCATGCTCGATTAGCAAGAGTTTAACGTTTAGCAGCTAACCAGACTAAAATTTTAGAGAACCAGTCATATATAGTTTATAAAAAATATTATTGTTTTGTATTAGTTCTAACAATTTATATTAATTTAAAAAATTTACATCGCCTTTGCATATTCAATACTGCAATTCAATATGCAATATTTCAAGCAATGAAATTTGTGTTGCAATTTTAAGATTCCCCGTCATTTTATAGGTTATAAAAAATTATAAAATTACATATTAAACTTTGCTTTTCAAAATATTTAATAGGCTAGCTAACCGTGAAAAGTCCTATGCTTTTCAAATCTTCGCTTAGTGCATGTTTACAATTTAAGAAGATAAAACAAATTTGTTTAGTGTAATTGGTTGTGATTATTGTTTTTGTTTGAAGAGGCCATGGTTCAAATCTTGATATTGATATTTTTTCATATGAAGTGGATAATAATTGTGATGACAAAAATACTCGTCCTACTTTCACTCTCGCTTCACGAAATTTGAAATAGAAAATCTTAAACCATTGAATATATCTTATAGAAAGAGCTTCTTCAACCAAGTAGGAAATATATTTTACGTGAAATTATTATATCTTATAGAAAGTGATTAATTGTGAAATCGGAATTCAAGTAACATTGATTCAAACATTAAATAATAAATTGTGTGTGTGGTTCAATTTAGACAAAATACATATGTATAGCCAAAACATGGATCTTTGTGACAAATATAGTAATGTTTTGTCATAAAGATAAATATGGCACCATGACGAATTAGAGCTTTCCAGAATCACTGTAAGGCCACGAAATTAGAAATGAGACTGTCATTTTCCAATTTATCATTATATTATGTGTAGATTTGTCCCAAAAAAAAGATTATACTCATGACAAATGTCCATGTTTTGGCTACACTTCTGTATTTTGTCTAAGCTAAGCAACACATACAATTTAATATTAATGTTTGAATCAATACTACTTGAGTTCCGATTTCAGAACTAATATCTTTCTATAAAATATAAATAACTTAAGATAAAATATAAATATAAAAGCATCATCACCAAACATATTCCAAGAGTTTAATCAAAGAAATAACAATAAATAAAATGTAGCCTAGTTGGCTACAATTCTCTTTTTTCATTTAAGTGACCAAGGTTCAAACTCTAATGATAACATTTTCAATATATAGGGTTAATATATTTGTATGACCTAAACTTTTCACATAATAAACATCCTGGCCAATATTTTCGATCTATAACATCATGGCCTGAACTATACACCAAAGTAACGAAATTGGCCAAACCCGAAAATTGACCGTTATCTTGGACGGTCAAACGCGTTGACTAACGGTCAACGTGCCACATCACCGCCAAATAAACACCTTTCACTTCTTAAGTGCTAATACCACTACAACACCTAAACTATGACAAAATGTCACTTGTGTCCTATTCTTTCAAATATTTCATTTGTGTCCTGAACTATTTTTCCGTTAGAATTGACCGGCGTTGACCGTTAGTTTTTAACATAAAATATAGTTAGCGTGATGTGGCAGATGACATGGAATTTTAAATTCAATTTTAATTTAATTAACATTAAAAAAAACAAAACTCTGGGCCACTTCCGACCTCACCCTCCTCCCACATTCTCTCTCCCTCCTACTCACCTCCGCGGCTCCGCCTCTCCACCTCCCAACTCGCCAACTCCGCGAAGTCGCCACCATCTCCCAGTACTCCGCTCTCCTCTTCGAACCCAAAAATATGGCGGGTTTCCATCCGGTTCCCTTGCCACCGCGCGCTCCAATCACCCCTCTCATTGGACAAAAACCCCTGCCTCATTCGACAAAAAAACCCTGCCTCCACCACTACTCTGAATCGAAACTTCCATGGTCGATTTTAGTGGAGCTCTAAATCGACATGCCATGGCCCTAGCTTCCCCCATCAAAATCCGTCTCTCTTCCGCCCTTCACCCATCGATTGATAACTTGAGCATGCCCCGATGTTGGGTCGGCGGGCTAGAGCAATTTGGAGGGTCGGGTCGGCGGGCTCGGGCAATTTGGAGGGGATTCAAATCTAGCAGGGGAAGAAGGCTGCATCGTCGGTGGTTTTAGATCTGTGGAGGAGCCGGAGTATCGGGGAAGAAGATGATTTTATGGCGATTTCGATTGATAGGGAGGAGGAATGGTGATTTCTCACTACGAAACTAAAGTTTGTTGGGGGGGGGGGGGGGGGGGGGGGGTTGAGATTAGGGACTCGGGGAGGAGGAACAAGAACGAAGGAGATGGTGGATTTTGTGCTTGACGAAGATAGGGATGGCGGAGCGGCAATGCGAAGGCCAATCATTATTTTTTTTATTTTTAATTATTTTGCATTTTAATATGATTTTGAATTAAAAAAATATGTGGTATGATGTGGCATCTACGTGGATGCCACTTTTCCTTCCATGTCAGCAAAAGTCAGCATCTCTTTGACCACCGTTAGGTCAACCGTTAGAGATAACGGTCAACGAAATCGCCAGGATACAAATGTCACAAAGTATCATAGCACATGATAGAAATGGAATATTTAAAACAATAGGACACAAGTGGCATTTCTTCGATAATTCGGGTGTTGTAGTGGTATTAGCCGTAATTTTTTTATATTTTCCACCTATTACTATTTAACTTTTTCATAAATTCATTTTTTAGTTTTTTATTCAAAATGAAAAAAAATAAATAATAATAGGTGGAAAATATAAAAAAATTTAGGTGAAAGGTGCTGACTTGGCGACAACGTGGCACGTTGACCTTTAGTCAACGCGTTTAACCATCCAAGATAATGCTCAATTTTTGGGTTTGGCTAATTTCGTTACTTTGGTGTATAGTTTAGGCCATGATGTTATAGATCAAAAGGATTGGCCATGATGTTTATTATGTGAAAAGTTCAGGCCATACAAATATATTAACCCTAATATATAAACATGACTTGGGTGAAATGACAAAAATGATATTTCTAGAATCACTCTCAGGTCATCACGAAATTTGAAATGGAAGAATTCCAACTCATGTTTTGCTTTTATATATTTTGTAGATTGGCGGAGGGATGACAACATAACCCTATTCATGGATGCTTAACCTGACTCAACCCGGTCAAAACGGGTAAAACCCGTGTTGATGGATTACGGTTGAGGGCTGGATTTAAATCTGTTCTACTATTTTGTGGGTTGGGTTCGGCTTTAGTCATATCCAACTCGTACCCGTCTAATATGCTCTTTCTAATTGTGTAGAATGAAGTTGATGTTATGGAGTGGAGAGTGAAGAATATTAGTTGACAAGGAGTAAGAAGCTCTTAATTAATTATGTTATTTATGGATGTTTATCTTTAATGTTGAACAATTTGTATGAATAATTTATGATTTGCTTGTATGTTCTAGATTGATGTTTTTTATAACAATAATTTGTATGGAAAAATTGATGTTATACTTTTATTTTGACAAAAAGTTATTATATATTCGTAGAACCCATAGGTATTCATGAACCCGCAAATAACAAGCGGGTTGAGTTGAGTTTTCCAAACCCATTGGATACTATCCCGAATTTTTTTGGTGGATATATCCATGAGTTTAAGTTTGGATTTGACAAAACTAAGCCCAACCGGTCCATTGCCATTCTTAGTAGGTGAGTTCATATAGGTAGAGGCTGAATGCAGTCTGCAACCCTTAGTTTTTCTTTTTTTAGATAAAGGTGATATATGTTACTTTTTTGTTATTAGGTATCACAGAAGGGACATGAACCTGGGACCTACATGTTTTCATGACTAGTAATATTACCACTAAACCAATTTCTTGTTCGTGTTCTGCAACCCTTAGTTAGGATACTTCATCAAGATCTGGAAAATTCTCTTCACTGGTAGCAAGATCTTCATTGTTTATTCCGTAGCAGATGTTATTGGACGAAGTCTATGTCGAGAATTAACTCGTTTTGATTGTGAGTGATTCAAAATGGTATCCTTATACTCATTTCCTTACAGAGCGTCTGAAGGAAACTTCTCTTCCTAGTTCCTATTTGTCTTCCTTCGCTTATTCGGCATGCATAAATATGAGAAGCTACTGTGCTATTTGGTATTGGATTGATTCCGACGAAGAATTACAGTGACATGACCCAGAAAGAGAAGCTGAAACAGAGCAGAGTCCCCTGGTTTTTACCGTTGTCATTGTGCATACACATAAATACTACAAGACAATGAAATGAATTCTAAGGCCAAACCATGTCGACGCAAAACAGAGGCTCCTCGATGATTTCATCTACCATCTCCGAGTCCTTAACACTGGCAGCAGCGGCAGTGGAAGCCGAAGCGGAAGAGGATGATGAAGAAGAGATAGCTGAAGCGGCAGCTGCGGCAGAGGAGGTGGCAAAAGTGAAAGGAGGCCGAGTGGCAGCTACGAAGACTAGGTTTGGGTTTTGCGGCCGAACAATCTGGGACAACAGAAGCACCAGTGACGCCATAACAAAAAAGAATCAAACTTTAGAAAGAGGGAATGAGAGTAAGGTAGGAAACGAAGGTGGGCTCGATTTCTTTATGTGATCAGAGGATGGATGAATGGAAATCATAGCTAGCTGACTTCCCTCTTATAACAGATCTAACTGTGAAGATCAGCAGGGCGCCATTGGATTGTCAGCGTGGCGGCGTGGTGTTGGTGGTGGAGGGCATTCAATTCATTTCAAAACAGAGGGGGGGGGGGGGAGTGCTTTCTGTTGTTTCGATGAAGAAGAAAGTGGGAAAACCGGGGACGGAAAACTCCCCTGTTTTCTAACGCCGATGGTTTTGCGTACTCAACCAATGTTGTAAATTGGTTTGAATTAGATGAGATATTTCATAGGACACACACGCCACGACAAAGATGGTTTTATTTGATCAATTTGGATGGTAGAATGTGAAGAAAAAAAGGTTAACCTATTTGAAGAGGGAGAGCTCGTTTAGCACAATCCAAAAACAGAATCAAGAGGGAGAGCTGCTGACGAAGCTATTGAAGGTTAAAAAATCACAAAGGCAGTCAAGCCATGCACAAAACCACAGTCATCCCCACCAACAAGACAGCAAGTATAACCAGAAAACTAGTAACTCAATCGAAAAGAAACAGAAGATGGCTGCAGCAACAGAGAAATTGCAAGATACATAAATTAACAGCGAACCAGATGAGAAAGAAGTTGCTGTAATACATCTGACCGGCAACGAATAACAGCATCCTCTCTGAACAATCCTATATTGTTCTTTAGTTCAGTCCACGGTTCAAAGTTGTTTTAGGGGAAGTAATCGTCTTCCTTTAGTCCCCTGAAAGGAAGATACTTGAATGCCTCCCGCAAAAACAGTTCTCTAACACCATGTTCACAGAAATGTAGTCCGAGGTTCAACAATCCAACAAAAAACTATAATGGACACCCAGACCTCTCTCTATGTTTGTGGTGCTAATTGTTTCAACTTCGCCTGCAAGACTGCCCCAGCTTCATCTGCAACTGTCTTTTTCTTAGATGCAAGCTGCAAATTTGGATTGAAACCACAGATTTAAGAGAGAGAACTAATATCGAAACACACAACGTACAGACAGCCACAAAACATTCTTCCATCTCAGCAACATTTCTTTCTATCATTATAATTAACTCAATCCGGTAACCATGCAAGAGAGCACAAACGCAGCATATAATCGTTTGTTTCCTGCTACAACAATCCCTACAGGAGTTGACATGCAAACCGAAATCGATTGACTTGTAATAAAACTTGTACAATGTCAAGACAAGAGGTTTGTGCACAGAAGAACATACCTCGAGAAGTTGATCGTAATTCGATTTCAGCAAGTGGATCTTCCTTTCGCAATAATCTTTCCCCTCCACCATGGTTTTCTAATGTTCAACACCAACCAACAACAAAAGAAGTTTAGCATCCATCCCAAAACCTTAATAGCCCAAATGAAGACACTGAGTAAGAATCTGAACAACAAAGCTTCAGCCTTTCGTGTTTCTTCCTCCAATTAAGGAACAGCCCTCTAGCAAGAAACTAAAAATCGTTCTTTCTTAGATAATTTACAAAGCAGCTACTCCAACGAACTTCGATTTCAAAGGCTGAAGATTATATACACAAAACCCACAAAATTTCTTGGGTGATGAATGAATAACCAGCGATAACTGACCTCGACGAAGTAGCCAGTGCCGATATCGACGAGGACCTTATTGGCGTCATCGAGAGTTCCAGGCACGTAGAGCGATGCTGTGAGAGGGACCAGCATTTTTTTCCCTGGCAAAAGCAATTTGAAGGAAAAAAGGGAGCAAATTTCAAATTAGAGGGAAGCAGAAGCAGAGATGGAGGAAGAGGAACAGAGGATGGAAGGGGGTAAAATACCTTGGGGGCGGAGGGAGAGATCGTGGAGAGCGGCGGAAGCGAGATCGAGGCGAGTGGTGGCGGTGCGAATGTTGTTGAGGCTGTCCTGCAACAGATTGACTTCGAGATCTGTCTGCTCCTTCACCGCCTTGAGTTGTTCGACGCTCATCTTCTCCATATTTGCCACTATCGCCGCCAGTGAAGCTGAGCCTTCGCTAGATGGCGTTCCCTTCAACTACCTCGTATGGTACTCTGCTAATCGGAGTCGGCACGCGTTGGGTCAAGGTTTTAGTTTAACCCTCTCTTCCATCGGTGACGAATCCAGGATTCAAACATACCTGTGTCATCTTCTCAAAATATAAATAAATAAAATTAAAATTAATAAAATTGAAATAGTTCATTCACAGATAAACAAGAAATAATCTTTAGTGATATGATACTTATTCATTATCCAAAAAGTCAAGGGTTCGATACGGACTCGAAGTTTGGTACCGGTATTTTGGATATACTGTATACCAATGTAGTTAAAAGCTATAGTTTAAGCCTAAAAGCTTACGCTTTTAAGTTCTTACCTCCTCCAATATAGTAATTTTCTTTGAAAAATCTTTTGACACCATAAGCTTAATATAAACTCCTTAAAACCACAATATGTGCATAAAAAATCCTTAAAAGCTAGCTTTTAGGACGCTTATAAGAGCTTTTAATGATAATGTTTATGGAGCGATTTGGCACGTCGTGCGATGGTCAAATGGTTTTTTGTGGATGAAAAAACTAAAGTGATCATGCCGCTGGCTTCAAAATGATTCTTTTAACATGAATGATGATTGATGTATTTATGAGGAGCATGATGTTAGTGACAATAACAACTATGATGATGGCGGTAATTAAGATGATATGATTTGGATGGAAATGTGGACGTTGCTGCCCAAATGTACCATAAATCATGATCAATTTTTTTGGGGGGCTTGTGATGTCCATAATATGAATATTTCAGAGTTATGATTCATATTAGCGTACGATTCAACTCTTTTTCTATGTTTATGAACTTGTTCTGAGTTAGAATGTACTCTAGTTCAAAATCTTTTCCAATTTTCTGTGTGTGGATCCTATTAGTCTTTTAAGTTGCTTTTTTACAATTTCAATGGTTCATATAAACTTACGTTCTTACGCTCCGCTTTTACGCTTAAGTTTGTACCCATCATTTCGCTTATACATAAAAACTATAGTTTAACTACATTGCTGTATACTGTACTGAATTTATCACTATTAGGTATTATCGAATACCGGCTTATTTTTTAGGAATTGGAATTGGGATTCATTTTCAAGTGTTATTCGGTATTCGGGATTACGAGATTGGGGTCGGTATATACCGATATACCGAAAGTTAAAAATTAATGAAATAAAGCACACAACCTTAGGTTATTCCTCACTCTTTCACAACTTAGAAGCCCCCATCCAACACAATTTTGACTTTCCAGTCTAAGTCACTCTCGTCTCTCACCTAATCTCTTGTTATTTTCATAAGGCCAAATTCACGGCTCAAGATAGGGTGAGTAAGGCCAAGTCCAATGCAAAACCCCAAATTTGGGGATTGAACCCCATTTTCCATTCTTTTGCTCCAATGCAACAAACTCCATATTTGGGGTTCTTAATATTTTCAGTTTTTCCATTTATTTAAAAATGTACTTATCAAAACTTTAATATAATTTGTTCATGTTAATTTTTGTATAGTTCGTCATCATTTTTAAATAAAAATTTTTCGATAGAATTTTGTTAAATTTCGAGACCGAATTTTTTTTGGCGAAAAATTATGGACCTAATTTGGGTTTACACACAACACTTGAAAATGATAAAGGTTAACGAGTTGACATAATAATTCAAATGGTACAATTCATAGGTTACACAGAACACTTGCTAATCATAAAGCTTAAATATTACACACAACACTTGAAAATGATAAAGTTTAAAAATAACACACAACACTTGAAATGATAAAAAGGAAACACTTAACATGTCAATTATCACCCAGAAGGGAATAGTAATTCCCGTAATCTCCTCCACCTTCATCTCCTCCTCCATTTCCATCTCCATCTCCGGTCTGACTTGCGTTGGATGAATAGTCGGGAACAGAGTTGGGATCATCTTGATCATACCCTAGGAGCATGTTTTGATGATTTTTGTAAAACTTCCTCTTACTTGGTGTCAACTTCGACAAGCCCTTTTCAATAAGATCAAGATTGTTTCGAAATAGTGCTGCTTCCCTCTCTTTTTTCTCAACTTCCCACTTTTCTTGGTCACGCTTTGATTTTTGTTCTTGGAATTCTATCATTCTTCGCTCATACTCAGTCCTCAAAGCATGCCTCTCCTTCAACTCACTTCCATACTATAGCAATTGAGCAGTGTAGCTCTCTAATGACTCGGCAACCCCCTTTCCTTTCTTCTTAGGTGCCTTCTGTTTGTCGCGTCCAGTAGGGCGAGATATGACGAATGGTGGAGTTTCTTCGACGAACGGTGGAGTTTCTCCGACGAATGGTGGAGTTTCTTCGTCTCCTTCTGTGTCATTGAGGTCTGTCTGTGGTATTGATTGATAACCACGACCCATGGGAGAACCATCAGAACCTTGACTCATGCGGCTTTGATTTGAAGATGGCATTATTATCACGGTATGAAATTTTTGGCATCTTTTCAAGATCCACCAACAATGACCAAAATTCCACCCCTTTTCTCCGGTCTCGCTTAAATAGAGTTGTTCTTCCATATGCTCCTATACGTATAAATGAATGAGATGGAAAAGGAGTTAGAAAATAGAACACACGTACTAATGAACGAGGTAAAAAATAACAATGATGGTGACGGAGAATTCATACCACATCCATTTGATTGGTGCCACTTGGTTGATTCCTCTCTGCCCTTTGGATAGCTGAATTCCAACACTTGCAGTATTTGGTGATTGTGCCCATTCGATTAGTCATGCTTTTGATAGTACGAGACGTGTTTCGATTGTTCGATCGAAATTGCGCTGCCACTCTATCACAGAACCTTATATCCCTTTGATTGACACCCACAGCTCCATCTTCCGATATCATCACCCAAGAACTGCACAAGTTCTTATCTTCCTGCACTGTCCAATTCCCTTTTATCTTGCTTGTCATTGTTTGGTTTTTAGAGAGACAAAGATGATAGAAAGAACGAGGGACTAACAGAAAATTTCAATAAGAATGAATGGTAGAGAGAGAGGAGAGGATGTATGAATATATAGAGAATTTATGACCGTTAGGTTATGACCGTTTGGATATAAACGTTAGGTAAGGTTGGTAGGTAAGGCTATTAGGTAGCACATGTTCGAATATGACCGTTGGGTAAGGTTGGTAGGTAGCACATGTTCGAATATGATCGTTAGGTAAGGTTGGTAGGTAGCACATGTTCGGATATGACCGTTAGGTAAGGTTGGTAGGTAGCACATGTTCGAATATGACAGTTAGGTAAGGTTGGTTGGTAGAACATGTTCGAATATAAATGCAAATCCCCCATTTACCATCAATTGTATACTTGTCTGAAACTTCCTCCCATTTCTAAAACAAACACATCCATCATGAGTTCCTCAGATTACTCATCGTCTGGAGGAGAACAAGAGATAGAAGAGTTGAATATGTTTAACTATCATCGTTTGACTTTAATCGTGCGGAGGCTTGAGGAAGCTTCACGCTCACGTCGTCGTTCAACAAATCGCACCTACATTGATCGTGAAAGGGTCTTAGGTCATGACTGTCTTATGCAGGATTACTTCAATCCAAATCCAACATACGATGCCCGCATATTCAGAAGGTGTTTTCGTATGCAACCACGACTATTCAATCTCATAATGGGTGACGTTGTGAGGTATGATCCCTCTTTTGCAGGAAGGAGTGATGTCGTTGGTCACCTAGGCCTATCGCCGGAGCAAAAGCTTACTAGTGCACTACGCATGCTAGCTTATGGATCTCCAGCTGATCAACTTGATGACTACATGCGTATGGGTAAGAGCACTGTGCTTGAAGTCTTCAGGAAGTTTTGCAGAGCCATTGCCGGGATGTACTCATCGACATATCTTCGTGCACCAACTCCTGCTGATCTAAGGATTCTACTTCATAAAGCCTCACAACGCGGATTCCCTGGTATGATTGGATCAATTGATTGCATGCACTGGGAGTGGAGGAACTGTCCTACTTCTTGGACTGGGCAGTACCTGGGGCACAACCGTAAACCAACAATCATTCTCGAGGCAGTGGCTTCGTACAACACCTGGATATGAAATGCTTTCTTCGGCCCTCCTGGGTCGAATAACGACATCAATGTTCTGGGGATGTCTCCAGGTTTGACGGTGTCCTCAACGGATCCACCCCACGAGTACGATTTGAGGTAAACGGTCATACCTATGATCAATGTTATTAATTGGCTGATGATATTTATCCTTCGCGGTCAACTTTAGTGAAAACATTCAACAATCCAAGCTCAAACAAAGAAGCCTTGTTTGCTCGATGTCAAGAAGCACATCGAAAAGACGTAGAGCGGGCCTTTGAAATTCTTCAAGCTAGATGGGCAATCGTTCGTGGCCCTGCAAGATCTTGGGTTGTTGCCACAATTAATGATATAATGTTGACATGCATTATATTGCACAACATTATAACCGAGGATGAGCAGGTTGATTCTGACGATGAGATGGAAGATAATCTTGATTATGAGGTCCACGACCAACAACCAACTAATGTCGATAGAGATATTCCAACCCTAACTGAGTACTTAGCTAGGAATAATAGGCTTCTTGCTGCACCAACACATCATGGGCTTTGTCGGGACTTGGTCGAACATATTTGGAACTTGCATGGAAATAATTAGTCATTGTTGTTGCTTGGTATCGATGCTCGAATGCTTTGTAATTCAATTAAAGTTGTAGTTGGTGACAATTTATTTTGTAATTTACGAACACATTTTCATTTCAATAATATAATTTTCATTCTTAGTCCGATCTAATTTTTGTTTACACACAACTTAAAGATGATAAACATAAATTTTAAATAAAATGTATTCAATTTAAGTCATCTTAGAAAAAAAGCCTAAATACACAAATATTAAACACAAATTAAATACAATCTAAAAAGCCTAAATACAAACATTAATTTCCCATCCCCTAATTAATTACATACAATTCCCTTAATCAATGTCCTTAAATAACTCAACAACAATTAAAAAAAAAATGCTAGCGGACACAGCCGCCGGGGCTGGGCGGTGCGCCGCCCAGCCCCGACGGTTGTGCCGCTCAGCAGACAACTCATCCTCCATAAATGACGAAATCGGCAAACCCTCCCCCATATATAGCGATCCAATTGCCGATCGCCTCCATAATTGCCGATTTTCGGCATTTATTTCTCTGCATTAAATGCCGACAACCCCATAAATGCAGGCTGCATTGGACTCAGCCTAACAATGAGTAACCAAATCTGGACCCTTCTTCTAAGTGGCTGCAGATCTAAGGGTGGAGAATTAAATGAATTTATTTTCCCTAGTTTTCTTAATTGGATCATATCTTCTTCATTCTAACTCGGATTTCAATTTTTTTTTGCACAAATGGAACGAGTTCGTTGTGCTCTACAAAATGATATCCATTTTCAATATTTTTTGAGAAAAATGTTTTCCATCCCTCTCGTTACCAATTCTATAACATATGGTATCTCCTTCGTTGTTTAGTCATTTTCGGAAATTTTTGCACAAAAGGAACGATTTATTTCTCTGCGTTGGAACTCCAAGATCGGCATTAATGCCGACAACCCCATAAATGCAGGCTGCATTGGACTCAGCCTAACAATGAGTAACCAAATCTAGAACCTTCTTCTAAGTGGCTGCAGATCTAAGGGTGGAGAATTAAATGAATTTATTTTCCCCAGTTTTCTTAATTGGATCATATCTTCTTCATTCTAACTCAGATTTCAATTTTTTTTTGCACAAATGGAACGAGTTCGTTGTGCTCTACAAAATGATATCCATTTTCAATATTTTTTGAGAAAAATGTTTTCCATCCCTCTCGTTACCAATTCTATAACATATGGTATCTCCTTCTTTTTTTAGTCATTTTCGGAAATTTTTGCACAAAAGGAACGATTTAATCATGATCTATTGGATTTCAAAATTTTTTGGGGGAAAAAATTCCATACCTCTCGTTACCAACTCCATACCATACTATACCACCCTGGTATGAGGTGGTATTTTTCATTCCATATGGTATTGACTGGTAATAACTGGCAATTTTTTTTTTGTTCCAAAAAATATCAAAGTGGATATCATTTTGAATCATTACCAACTCCATACCATATTATACCACCTTGGTATGAGGTGATATTTTTCATACCATATGGTATGATGTTATTTAATACAAGTCAATACCATATGGTATTGACTAGTAATAACTGGCAAATTTTTTTTGTTCCAAAAAATATCAAAGTGGATATCATTTTGAAGAGAGCAATTAATCTGATCTAACTGTGCAAAAAATTAAATTCCAAGTTAAAACGAGTGAAGAATCGTCCGTTAAAGATTAAGTGAAAGAATATTAATAATTTTTCCAGGAGAGAGAAGAAGGCGCTGATGTGGCAGATTCTTATTGGGTTATGCATGAGGTTACTCACCACAAGGTTACTCACCGGATCTGCTCCCCAAATTCACCTGTATAGCCAAAACTTTGACGTTTTTGCAAAATATAGCCACTTTTGGAGAAATACCAGAAATAGCCACTTCCGTCCAATTGTTTGACGGTGTTAGCTAGAGTGCTGACTGGACAAACGGACCATCCGACGTGGCTTTTTTCGTCAAACAAATGAATTCCACGTGGAAAGAAAAAAAAAACAAAACGGTAAATGCATCTTTTACGCCTCAGTCACTCTCCAACTTTTTCATTTTCCCCTTCCCTTCCCCGGGTTCGATATCCAGAGAAAACCCATCTTCTCCGGCGACGAACTACGACGCTCCCCCTCTCCAGATCGGCGTTGGTAGTCGTCGACGACGGCGAAAGCCTTTCCAATCCACGAACCCACCACGAGAAGCAAAACCCCTTTCCTTCTTTCCGATTCACGAACCCTAAATCCTTTCCGAGACTCCCTACATCGAATCGGCCATGCATCGCGGGCTTTCATAGATCCTCTCCACTTTCCGGCGACACGATTCATTGTTGGTGAGGGGGAATCGACCATTGAAGGCGAAGATTCCCAAGATGAAGTTGCCGGTTCAAAACCCTAATCTTGAAGAATCTTGATTTTCGACGAAGGGTGATTTCTAGGCTTCTTCCTTTCAGTCGACTGGTAATTGTCGAGTTATATTCACTGAGCTCCGATGTGATGGATGAGGTGGATTTTAAGCGAAGTGTTGTAAATTTTGCTTGGTTTCTTCCTTTTATAGTTCAGACCTGGTATTAAAGTCAGAAAGCGACACAAAGGGGCTACTCGGGACCACTGGAATTCTTCTCTTCGCGAGTTTGCCCTTGAATTCGAAGGTAAGCAGCTGGAAAGCTACTGGGCAGAATCGTCATTGGCTTTGGAAAACCCTAGGATAGTATAATGTTTGTTGGTGATGATTCCTTTGTTGTTTACTGATTAAACACGCATTAACATTGTGATTATAATAGTAATTGTGATTAAAATAGTATTTGAATGTGTTTTCCTTCTAACAGATGGTGAGTTCAATGGAAGAGAATGACCCAAACCAAGAAGGGAATTCTGCTGATTACCTATCAGCAGACGAAGGAACAATTGTTGCTTCTGTGGCTCGACCAATGATCCATGTTTACGACTCCGATGATGTTGACACCTCCGACGATGAGTACCATAAGGCAAGGAATAACCTTCGGGCATATGGAAAAATGAGGAAAAGAATTGTGAGAACGAGGGCTGATGGTCATGGGGAGGAGGTGGAACAGTTGGACGAGTTTGAAGAGGTTGAATCTGATGAGGAGGAATTTGAGGAAGAGGTTGAAGAAGCCGAGTTTGATGTGAATAAAGAGGAGGATGAAGTTTCAGAAACTCAACAAGTGTCACCAACTGAGCAAGCACGTAAGGAGACAAGTAATCATTCGAGCTACAGACTTTCCGAGGAGTCTGACCACGTGCGAGGTAATATATCTGATGAGGCTAGTGCTGATGTGTTCGACCACGCACCACACTACGATCCTCGCTGTGAGGGTAAGTTCGAGTTTGTCGCTCGCATGAGATTCAAGGATCCTGACCAGTTTAAGACTGCGGTGGTGAAGCATTTTGTAGCAAATGGGGCAGGTTTGAGGTGGACAAGGGTTAACTCTACGAGGAGGGTAGTGAAGTGTAAGAATGAGAGCTGTAAATGGAAAGTGTATGCAAGCTGGTTTAGCTAGAACCAGAATTTTATGGTAAGAAAGGTGGGGCTGCCACATTCATGTTCGAGACAGCTTCGGGTGAATCAAGTTACGGCGAAGTGGATTGCGATGGACATGCTAGACAGGGTCAGGATCAATCCTGATTGGATTGCGAAGTGAAACTCAAGCAAAATATCGAGGTTAAGAGAAGGACATGTTACAGGGTGAAAGTGGCAGCCATTCGACTCCTTAGTGTCTCTTTGAAAGATGAGTACACGAGGCTACGGTCATACTTGAGTGAGCTGAAGAAACGAGACAGGTTAGGCCGGTTCGATCTAGAGGTTGAACCGCATCCCACACAAGAAAAGGTCTACTTTCAAAGGATGTTTGTGATGTTCTCAAACATCCGAGACGGTTTTCTTCTCGCATGTCGCCCAATTATCGGTTTTGACGGTTGTTTCTTGAGGGGGAGGTAAAGGGCATGATTCTTTCAGCGGTTGGGAAGGATGGAAATAATCAGATGTACCCAATCGCCTGGGCAGTCATGGAGGGAGAGAATGCAAACTCTTGGAGGTGGTTCGTCAACATTCTCTCTCAAGAGCTTGGGTTAACAGATGGTAGGGGCTGGACAATCATATCGGACCAACAAAAGGTTAGACTCATAACAACTTGCTCCCTTTTTTGTTTACTTACTTCCTATTTTGTTTAACTTGCCGTCCATCCTTAACTGTTTTCTTTGTACTTGTAGGGTCTGATTGAAGCAACTCACGAGCTGTTACCGGATGCAGAGCATCGCAAGTGTGCCTGCCATGTTTATGCGAATTGGAAGGCAAAGAACAAAACTGACCGGGTTCGTGAACTGTTCTGGAAGGCAGTTTATGCTTGCAATGAGAATGATTGGAAGAAGGCCACCAAGGAAATGGAGACAATTGAAGGTACCGAACTTGGATCCACACCCTTTACTGATTTCATGGCTGCCGAACCCCGTTCCTTTTGCCGAGCATTCATGTCGACAATGTCTAAGTGTGATAGTGTTGAAAGAAATATCTGTGAGACGTTTAATGGGACAATTGTGAAGTATAGGGGCTTGAGAATAATCGACATGCTAGAGGGTATTAGGTTGTACATGATGGATAGGTTTGTAATTAAGTACAACATACTGATGGACACCCCGGATATGTTGTGCCCTAGAATTAGGAAGAGGGTAGAGAAAGTAAAGGAATTTGCTAGGTTGTGCATTGCTAGGCAGACATTGGCGGATAGGTGCGAAGTGAAGATGGGTGAGAATGGCTACATAGTGGACCTAAATGATATGAGCTGTACATGTGGATACTGGCAATTGAGTGGGCTGCCTTGTTGCCATGCTGTCTCGGCAATTTCACATATGAGGAAGGAGGTGGACGATTATGTACATCCTTGTTACAAGGCCCACCATGTCGAGGGAGGCTACAGGGTTGGCATCGCTTGCTTAGATGGCAGGCAGGCTTGCCCAAATGCTATTGGTCTTGCAGTTCATCCTCCGAAGCAAAGAGCCATGCCGGGAAGGCCTAAGAAGAAGCGACGAAGGGCTGCTCACGAGTTGGAAACGAGACCTCAGAGGAATGGGGTAGGCGAGGAGGTAACTAGAAGGGGGAGTATCATATATTGCAAGAAATGTGGTGTTGAGGGGCATAACTCGAGGGGCTGCAAAGCTACAGAAGCTGAGATTCAGGTATGTATGAGTTTGAGTTGTACATGTAATAGTTTATAGTTAATTGATTTCTTACTAACATTGGGGCATTCTAATTTTCAGGCTAACACTCGAAATGAAGCAAGACGTGCTTGAACAGCACCAAGAAGGGCTTCTCGCACTGCTGGAACTCCTACTGGTGGAGGAAACAGTGCTGCCACCACTGTTTCAGCTGGAAATAACACTGCTGCCCCAACTGTTCCAGCTGGAAACAACGTTGCTGCCCCAACTGTGCTCGACACAAGGAGGAAGCGATTTCTCCATTGCTCTAAGTGTCAATCAGCGACCCATAATGCGAGAACCTACCCCCTCAACCGAGGAAATGGAATACAGGTAAGCCTTTGTGAAAACAATAACGAATACAAGTACCAATTTTTGAAAGGTGGTCGTTTGATGTTGTGTGGAATGTTGTGTGGTCATTTGAATGTTGTGTGGTCATTTGAATTCTAGGATGTTGTGTTGAATGTGGGAGATCGAAGGACGATTGAGCGTGAGATGCGAGTTGCAACAAGAGGGATAGGGGTGTATGTAAGTGAGGCAACTGGGAATTAGTACGTGAGGGTAAGATTGAGTTATGCTCTTTCTTTGGAATGATGGTTGGTACCCCATTGTTGTGATTTTTTGCTAACTTCATGATCTGTTTCAGTTGAATGGATCACGGGGTCGTCCTGCCGGAGGTACTCAGCCAATTGAGATGGATGCCCAAGGAAGTCAGCCGCCTCCGACACAACCTTAGATGCCAAAGTCACCATGAGTCACATTTTTGCTTACAATGCGTGTTATGGATGCACTCAGTGGAGCTTTTTTTTTTTCCATGTGACTCGTGGTCTATGTCCACCTTTTGGAGTAGTTTTAGTAGCCGGATGTTAGGATGTCAAACATTGGATGTAATGGAAATTATGAATGTTAGTAGATGGATGTTAGGACGGTAGACAATGGATGTAATTATGGTATCTACTTTGGTTGTTAAGTCCTGCCTTGTTAAACAGATGCATCAGGTTATGAATGTTAAGGTATCTCCTATGGTATCTCCTTTGGTTGCCAATTCAATACATAACACTAACTTGCCAATTCAATACATAACACTAACTTGCCAATTCAATACATAACACTAACTTGCCAATTCATAAACACTGCATTACTTGCGAGAAACACATTACTTGTCATAACAATACATAAAACTAACTTAGAACACATCATCCTAAATCATACTGCTGCGATTGGCCAACACTACGGCAAGTAACACTACATTCAACAAAATAACAACGGCGAACATATGTCGAATGACACGAACATCATTGTTAACCTTCCTCAGCTCTTGGACAACAATTTTTCTCTCCTTCTTCCTCCTTTCTGCCTTAGCCTCAGCTAACCGTAAATTCTCTTGTAGATTAAGAATTGTACTGTCTATGCCAGGGTTCCTTGCATCGACTTCATCCACCGCCCCATCCACCCACCTAAAAAATTTGCAGTTCTTTTTTGGTTCCTGCATCAACAGAGTCTATGGTCACAACTCTCAAACATGCACAAATGGAAAATGAAGATTCTCGCAACCTCCTTTACGATCCAAAACTTGCATCCGTAGAATCTCCTTCCTGAGTTGGACTCAGTACCGGCTCTATTAGTCACACCAGGAACATTGTGGTAGCAACAGACTACCCCAATGCTGTTCTCGCTTCTGGAAGATGACCCACCCCGTTGAGACATGACGAAGACGAGGACGCTGCGGAACGAGGAGAAGGGGTCTTCGCGGATCTGCGGGGGTCGTGGGTGGCGAGTAACGGTGAAGACGAGGAGAAGGGGTCGTCGCGGGGGTCTTCGTTCGCTGAAAAGGAGAGGCTGGGTCGGCGCGAAAGGAAAGGGAGGCGGCGGATCGGGGGTCTTCGTTCGCTGAAAAGGAGAGGCTGGTTCGGCGCGAAAGGAAAGGGAGGTGGCGGAGCGGGGGACGTCGTCGATTTTGAGTGCGGCGGAGCAGGGGACGTCGTCGAGTGCGAGTGCAGTGCGGCGGAGCTGTGTTCGTCGACGAGTGCGGCGGGGCTGCTTCAATCGGCGGAGCTTGGTTCGTCGAAAAGAGCGGCTGCTGGGAAACCCTAAATGGGATGGAATTGGGGAAAAGAATAAAATGACAGATTTATGGTAATTTTTTTTACCCATTAAAAATGACGTGGCATCCCACCTGTCAATAAATGCTGAGGTGGGAAGGAAAGACACGGTGAGGTGGCAACCACATCAACTGTCCGTTAAATAGACTAATGGTGTCATTGACGCCGTCAAACTATGTAACGAAAATGGCTATATCTGTCATCGAACTTTCAAAATTCTGGTTATTTCTGGTATTTCGCCAAAAGTGGCTATATTTGTCACAACCGTCAAAGTTTTGGCTATGCAAGTGAATTTGGCCTTTTCATAACTCCAAAAAACAAACACTAGTATTAGTCGTCTCTCAACCTCCAATACGTCATATTAAAGATTACCAATGACAAGAATTTGAGATGTCACCTCTCCTCCATTCTCATTATCCATATCTTAGCTCTAGGCAAACTCAATACTCGTTGCTTAGTCTCTTTGCCCTAAATTAAACAATTAAATTAAATTTATATATTTAATTATTAACTGCAAAGGTAATTAATTTTGTATTCGATAATATCAATTGTGATACCAAAATATTTAAGGATTGAGATATCGAAATTATTTAGGGATTGAGATTGACATTAATTTTAGGATGTAATTCGGTTTTAGGATTTCGGTATCGGTATTCCGATACCAAATACTGTACCAATTTCCACCTCTAACTTGATACACATATGGGTATTATTTCTCTACCCCAAATTTCACCTGTGTCCTAGGACACATCCAAAGTAGCCTGCCTCCGCCTATGTCTTCGACTTACAGGATTGCTAAGTTGCTAACAACGAATAGTTACCCAAAATTATGTTTTTTTTATATTTATTTCTTAGGTCGTTGACAATTTTAAACACGAATATTAGGGAGTACGTGGCCCGTGGGTGGTTAATCCGCATTTCGTGTTGCTATATAGATCCATCCGAAAATAAACAAATTGTAGTTGATGGTTGATTAATATAGGTGGATTGCATATTGATAAATCTCTTACGAGAAGTTATTCGAGTGGATTGTGAGTGGATTGTGGGTCACTCGATAACCGTCACCATATTTTTCAATGTTGTCAAAAGCGAACCGGAGTATGACTCGACTATGTGAACGGGTCGGTCTTTAGCTATCTAACCGGTATTAAATAGTTTAAAAACCGTTAAAAAACCGGTACCTAATAAACAATCAGTATAAATAGTGGACACTTCTTAATCATGGTAAACCATGACTAAATTAGTAAATTACACTTTCAGCTCTTAACAATTCCAAAACATGTGAGCGAGGAGTCGGGTGCAGGGAGCGACTACAGGGACTGGGACTAGGAATGACGACAGGAAGCGCCAGGACGGGAAGTGACGACGGAGCGGAGGAGTTGCTATGGGAAGAGGGGACGGGGACGTAGACTGACGATGGCAACCTGGGAGCTGCTACGCTGGCTAGGGATGGCGACGATGCCGACAGGAAGCTAGGACAGGACGTGTTGACGGTGGTAGGGTTTGGCGCCGCTCTTCTCCCTCTATTCACGAAGAATCGAAGACGAAAACTGAATTAGAGTTAGGGTTTCTTTCCTAGCCCCACAATTTTGCCTTTCGTTTTCAATTTTCAATTTTCTTTTTCAATTTTTTTTATTAAACAGAATGACCGGACGGGGAAAACCGAATGATTGGGTCAAGCGGCTCGAGCGGTTAACCGCCTCGGTCGGTCGCCGACCGCTCCATAAAAGCGTAGCTGTTAAATGACTGCCCGAGCCGGTTTTCTGCCCGGGTGGCGGCTTTAGAGGTCCGGCCGGCGGGCTCGGTCCGGTCTTAATAATACTTATATTTTTACACCACAAAAAGTTGTTTCTTGTTTGTACCATTGAATCGACATCATATTTTCTAACCGCACTACACAGTGACCAAGGACTTCTAAAGGCAGAGAATAAAGATTATTTTTGTACTACTAGTATTGGTTACTATATTGTGTAAGGTTCATTAAATATTGTGATGCAAATTATAAACTATTAATTGGGATCAATTGCAAGTTTGGTCACTCGAATTGCTATAAAAGTTCACGTTTGCCACTGAAATTAGTTTATTACATCCATAGTCACTTAAATTAGTTAAACAACTCATGTTCGGCCAGTCTCCGTTAACCTCCGTCAGAATCCGTTAACGGATGTCATTAAGTGCTGACGTGGCAAACAAAAAATGCCAGTCATCTCAATTTAACCCTAAAAATCGATGACCCGCCATGTCAGATTTCCACCATGTTAGCCCTCCCTACCCAACCCGCGAGCCAACCCAAGACCCGACCCCTACATCTGAAAAGTAAATTGGAAATATAGGAGAGGGTAGGATAGTTTCCATTCTCGATTCTTCTCTCTTCCTCCCGCGTCACTCCTTGCCCATTCTGCTCGAGATTTCATCGCCGACGATGAAGGAATGGAGCCCGCCACGGCTCCGCCTTGAATCCCTTCCCCCAATTTCGCTTTCTCATAATCTCTCGTCTTCTTCGTCGCGCGCACCCTTTCTTCTTCCTCTACTGCAAATCGACGCGAAAACCCTAATTTGAAGCTACTCTTTTCTCCAACGGTGGGTTGACGACGGAGACAAAGGAAGCCTCTTCCTCAAAGTTTCAATTCTCTTCTCATCGGTTGTAAAGGTAAGGCCTCGCGAATCTTTTGGTTGTGGCCTTTATATGGAGATACTAAAAAGAGTAGGAAAAGACGCTGTGAAACGACCCGATCCTTTTTGAAAATCAAACCATAATTCAAACCACAAACCGGTTACTTCAGAGCAACCCAAAACAGGTTTACAAGTCAAAACAAAAAATCAACAACAACAATGTTTAAGATTCTCGAGTAAAATGCCCTAAACACTTGGGCGACCTCAATCCAGAGCAACAAAACATACAACACAATCCTTGAGTTTTCCAGTATACTCATTAAGACATGAAACTAAAGGCAGATATAATGGGATGTCCCATCTCGTTACCCAGATCCAGTTGACATCTTTAGGTTTGTCGCGACTGTTCTCCTCGGGTAACCTCCTCTTGATGGATGCGTCCTCTTCCCCTCTCTGCACCTGGTGAGTGAGAAGGGATCAGTCTCGTCGTTACTTCCTAAGGTCTTTGCCCTAGGCGAACTCCCTACTAAACACGTTATTAGGGTTCCTGACTTAGACAAAATCCGTTCTCGCTTTCATCATTTATACTTTGTTATCAAAAGTCTATAAGAGATCTCTACTCTTATCTTATCCTTAGAATTTCCTTACTTATACTCTTAATCCATAGACACCAACACAAGGGACTACCGCATTACGTTTCGCCGTCCGGCGTCCCTACCCTAGTATGCCAACCGCGTTACGTCTCGCCGTCCGGTTGCATACCCAAACTCGGCAATGGCACTGCGTTACGTATCGCTGTCCAGTCCATGCCCGTCAACTACTGCGTTACGTCTTGCCGTCCAGTAATGACCCAACCGCCCGGGGGTTCATCTTACCATCAACCAACTATTACAATCATACATCCATACATTCCTACATAGCACAACGCGTGCCTCCACCCTTACAGGCGGTGAGGTGCCTCACACACATATCGCGCAAACTCATAAATTAACTAATGAATAGCTTGAACGAAAAGCTTAAACTAAAAGACCTACGACAGAGAATTTACCCCCTTTACACTCACCTCGAAAAGATGACTCCTCGATTCCTTCCTCGAAGAAACCCCTCCTTAGCTGGATTATCTTGGGGAAACCTATTAATAAGAATCCATTTTCTTAGACTACTATTCACGATTTAAAACCCCTTTTGAATCACTAGAACATCCTCTCATTAAAATCCAGCCCTCTAGCCTCGCTCCAAAGGTCCCTTAACCTCCTTTAAAAATTTTCTAGAAATAATCCCTTCAAAACTGACCATTTTTCCTAATTATTTTTGTCTTGGACGAATTTTTCACCTAACTTGAACCTTCTTAAAAATTTGGATAATAATTTTCCTATGTCTATCATGAGAACAAATACCATGGAAAATTATCAAACCCCTGAAAATCCCTCGGAAAGTTTTTTTTAATTAAATGAACATCAACCAATATTAAAAAATAGAAATACATTTTCAAAAATCTCCAAATTAAATTACAGCCATATAATAGACCATCCTCAATTTATAAAATTGTTAAACCTAGGAATAAACACTCGAAGTGACTCGAAACAATTTTGAACATCCAAAAATAAGTTTTTGCAAATTCCTAGCAGCTTTAATGACTACCCAAAATCTGTCACTAAAAGCTTGTAACGCCTGTTGCTAAAAATCCAGAATTGCACCCTCACGAAAAATCCCCAAATTAATTGACCTAACTCAAAGGGATCAAGTACCTTTACCTTTAGAACGTGCCTAGGACTCGATTGGATGGCCCGGGACGTTGATCTCTTCGTTGATCGGTACCCTCAAACGTCACCGTTAATAAAATACGAGCTTCGGATTAGACTATCGATGAATCGAGTTTAGAAATTGCGAAGGGGTTCGTGATCTTTACATAGAAACACGAAAGGGATGGGATCGGGGTCGGGATCAGGATCGTAACTGGGTGGAGACCCGGCGCTCCTTTTCTTTTTCCTTTTCTTTTGCTTCCACCGCGCGGTTGCTCGGGATTAATGGCTGGGGAGAGGGGAGGTCTAGCGGCTGGAAATTTTTGGGGAGGGGGGATTATAATGGCTCGGCCTCTTTTTGGCAGACCATTAAGTTTTATATATATATATATATATATATATTTATTTATTTATTTATTTATTTATAATAATAATTATTATTATTATTATTCTTAATCCGCTGTTGCAACTCTTAAGACGTAACCGTCAATTCAACCGATCACGTATTAAGGTTGAACCTAAACTCAAAGGTCGGAGAGTTACATTTCCTCCACCCTTATAAAAATTTCGTCCCCGAAATTTGGAATTGGAAAGATAATTACTTGGTCTTAGACTTTTGGTGTTTGACTAAAACTTCTCAAGTTAGGATATAACATTTCCCTCCCCCTTAATAAAATTTCGACCTCAAAATTTTGGTCCGAACTAATTTAATAGGTTTGGTACCGAGTACTAAAACTGAAAGTGCGTCTTTCGAAGAAAACAACCAACTAGTAGTCTATGCTTAAAGCAAATACTCCTTCTCCACAGTCTCCCCATTTCTTCACATGATCACATCAATGTGCTTGCTCGTCCCCTCCACTTTCACCACGATCTCCCTCTATCCCTCGCATGGCAAATACCATCAGCTGTCCTCCTACTGGAGGCCCCTAGTCTCTATCCCGATCAATGCGATCGAACCGCGCGATGCGTCCTCCCTGGCTCTGGAAGGAGCAGTTTGGTTGGCCGCCAAACCGTGGTCCTGCGTGAGTCCTCGTTCCACCACCCCAGACAGAATGCTCAGACTGAGCCATCCCTTGTCCGCCTCTCCATGGGCGTTCTCTGGCAAAATGCCCAGTCTCGTTACAGTTATAGCAGACCATGGGGGGATGCCTACACTCCCCTGAGTGATCCTGCCCACACTGGTTGCAGAGACCTCTGTTGTTGAAAGTTTGACCAGACCGGACCGAGCCGGTCTGACTCTGCGTACCCCCAAAGCTAACGATATCGCTCGGCCTCCTTCTGTACTGATTGGGATGGCCAGACCACTCTGGCATGCTACTTGCCTTTCTCTTGCTTCCCTCTCGCTGTATCTCTTCATCATGCATAGCTATGTCAACCCTCTCTATCCGAAGAGCCGCCTGGTAAATCTCCTTCCGACTGTTCCACGCCAACATGCTCAACTTCTCCTTAAGGGGCAGGCTTCAAACTCTCCAAATAGTGGGCACGTTGAGATGCCGCACGTGGAGAGGTTCCATTTGAAGTTCACTTATCAGACAAATTGAAGAGGAAGGGTGGCAATCATTTCCTCATTGAGAAGTCTATAGTCTACTAGGACTATGCGGATATTGACAAGCTATCGTTACTTGATCTGCCTGACATAGACAAGGCATGTGGTGGGAGGATTGACAAGCTGAAGTTCTTTGGAGCTCTCCTTCCACTGATGCAATGTTAGAGATTACTTTAGATGAAGACATACTCGTCATGTCAACATGTGCAAATGAAGAAGCAAGGGTTATCGAATTATATGCCATCTCCGAGGAAGACATTGTTGAGTTCATGGAGAGTGATGGGGAAGAAGGTGGAGCTGCCACCAAGGGAAAAAAGGAGAAAGAAGTTGTTGTTCTTGACTCGAGTGATGATGCAGACTACGAGGAAGAAGATGACAATGACTATGAGGCTAGTGAAGAGGAGGACTTTGGTTTTGGTGACAATCTGCAGTTTGAGAATAATGTAGCTCTAGATGTTGAAGCTGATTTTTTCACTGAAGAAGACGAAATTGAAAAGTGTAAGCAGACTATCATAGAAGCGGAAGATGCATAAGATTATGGCTCGAATGATCGGAGGACAATTTACAATTTAGATGAAGATGAGGGAAGCCACCAGACAGAAGAGTTCCGAGCTGAGAGAGACATGGAGAGCCCTACCTTCACTGTTTCTCAAAGATTTGGCAGCTTTGACATGTTGAAAGATGCCATAAAACAGCATGCCTTCGTGGAAAAGCGCCCTATTCGTCTCAAGAAGAACGATAAGAACAGGCTGCAAGCAGTATGTGCTGAACCATGTGATTGGTATATATGGGCCTCCAAGATGAGTCTTACGAATGCAGTCCAAATCAAGAAGTACAAGCTACAACATTCTACAGATTGTCAGAGGACTTTCAAGGTGGAGTTTGCAACTACAAAGTTTCTAGGTGGGAAACTTGCTAGGAAGATGGCAGCAGACAAGAATATGAGCAGGGGTTTCTCAAAAAAATATGCAAGGAAGACTATAAGGAAGATGCATTGGATTCAAAAGCATGGAGGATTCGAAGGGCAACCTTTGAGCAGGTTCTGGGTAGTTTGAGGGAGCAATTCCTAGGGTTGTACCATTATGCCGAGAAGTTGAGGAGGAGCAATCCTGGTTATACAGTGGTGTCATAGAACAGAGAAACCAACACTTCAACCGGATGTGAGTGTGTTTCCAGGCTTCCAAAATGGGTTTCAAGGCTGGTTGCAGGCACGTTTTGGTTATAAATTGCTGCTTCTTGAAGCACGAGTATGGAGGACAACTACTTTCAGCTATGGGTGTGGATGCAAATGACCAGTACTTTCCAGTTGCCTTGGAGAATAGGGAGAATTGAGAATGGTTCTGGAGCTTGTCTCTAGTGACCTGGAGATCATGGACTTCCATGTCTGACAAACAAAAGGTATCTGCTTTCTATAATTATTTCTTGTTTTTGCATGGACAATAATAGCATTTCTAGATTATGACGTGTGTGTGTGTTATTGGTGTTTTGGGGACTAGTGCCAGACCTTGATGCGCTCTTCCCAAGCTGTGAGAAGAGGCATTGTGCAAGGCACTTGTGGATCAACTTTAAGGGTGCATGTGGGGGGTCCCAACAAACGAAGAACCTCTTCTGGCCAGCACTAAGGGCACAAACAGTTCTTGAATTTTGGGCGCAAATGCAACCCCTAGCAAAGTACAATAAGGCAGCATATGATTGGTTGGTCGAGAAGCCCATCTACCATTGGAGAAGGTCAAATTTTCAGACCCTCTGCAATTCTAACATTCATACGAGCAATTTGGTGGAGAGTTGGAACAATGTGATTATAGAAGAGAGGGATATGGGTCCTATATGCATTTGGGAAGGGATTAAGAGAAACTTGATGGTGTTATATGCCCACGGAAGGTAAGGGATTAAGAGAAGGAGCTAGGCAAGGCTATTGAAGAAACCTTGAAGTGGTCAGCAAAAACTAATGGCAATGGTGAGTTTGAGGTAAGGTGGCACAACACCCAGTTGTGGTCAATTTGAAGAAGAAGACCTGCACCTGTAGACATTGGTAGTTGACTGGCATTCGATGTGAGCATGCCATTTAGGCAATCAGGAGGGCAAAGCTTTTGATCAAGGATTTTGTTGTTGATTGCTACTTGAGGGAGACAGAAGCTGTCATTTACCAGTTCTCCATTTCACCTACTACTGGTAAGGAGTATTGACCAGTTTTTGAGTTGGGGGATTGTGGAGTTCCTTCAGTGGCAAACTCAAAAAAGAGGGACAGACCAAAGAAGCAGCGAAGAAAGGGACTCGACGAGGATGACAAGGGGAAGAAGAAACAGAAGAAGGCTGCAAGGGAATTGTTGGGCTGGGTAGGGTTTACTTCCTAAAGCCTCCGACCATAAAAGAACTCGAACCATTCGAGGAGAGGCCATAAGTACATAACGACGCGGAGCGTGGGAGGAGGGCAAGAGCTATAAAACCAAGAGCAGAAGGTAGGCAAAGTACAATCGACGGGACAAAGGTATGTATAATCATGCGATAGCTGACATAAGCATTAAATGTGGCCGCAAGCATAATCTCGGGAAGGGAAGTCTAAAGTACACGCGCGACAGAGCATTAAATGCTTATATAAACAGCCACTATAAATACAACTCACACACATCATTTATTGGTAACTGGCCTACCCCATTCTCTATCTACTTTATCTCACTAAAAATACTGACTTAATCATTGGAAAGTATCCCAGGCCCCCGCCTTCGGATCCCTTATGCAGGAAAGGAGTTCGCTTGCACACGAGGAAAGGCGTGATCTCAGCCTAATCGGTCCCAACCCCACCTGGAACTTTCTAGGCCTAAACAATTTGGCACTCACCATGGGGCCGAGTTTGAAGAGATTACATATTTCCTTCGGATGGAAGGAGACTCAACCAATCCCATGAATGAGGTCGTGGATCCACGGACGCTTTGTGGGGGTGTCCCCTGAAGTCGAAGAGACATTGGACCTCGAAGACAGAGTAAAAGACCACGACCAGCAAATTGCAGAGATGCAAGGCAAATCAACCAAATTCTCTCCTTGATAAAGGAAGGAATGAAGGAGAAAAGTGATTTCCTAGAGGCGTCTCAACGCGCGAAAGACAAAGGGAAGAAGAAGGTGGTCACGATCGATGAACTAGAAGAAGAAACTGAAGACGAGGGGCGAGAGGTAGATTTAAGCTTCTTGGAGGAGCATCTACATTCGAGTTTTGGAAAGGGAAGCGGAAGAGGAAAAGGACTCAGCATCCTGCACAACCCGTTAGCAAAAAAGCTGTTCAAGAACCCTGTACCACCCAACTTCTCCTCGCTGGGCCTCCCAACTTACAATGGAAGTACGGATCCAGGAGATCACTTGAGTGCATTCACCTTGAAGATGCAATTGATCAACGCCACATATGCAGATTGTGCAAGGCGTTTCCCATAACCTTCGGGGGACGGTGCCGAGCTTGGTACACCTCGCTGCCTGAAGGAATCATTGATAACTTTGAACAATTTGCAACGTTGTTCTAGTCGAAGTTTGCCTCCCAGATCCGCCGAAAGTTGACAGTCACCGCACTCATTAATTGCACCCAGGGAGAGGAGGGAATGATAACGGATTACTACAACAGATGAAATACCATCGAGTGTGAGGTTCAGGGTGTAACACCCAATGTGGCGGCAGGTAATCTTATGATGTCCACACGAAGCAAGGAATTACAGAGGACCGCCACGACTTTCATATGAGCCTAGCCAATCTCGCGCCAGGTGACCAGCGTAATTGGCTGGAAGCCAAGAAACAAATAAAGGAGAGATCACCGTCTCCGAGAAGAAGGTGTAGCCGATCACCGAGAGGGAATCGGTCTAGGTCGCCAAGGAGGGATAGATCACGCTCCCGCTCCAAAACCAAGAGGAGGGAGAGACTACCTTCCCCACCGAACACCATTCCGCCGCTCAGGCAGCAGCGACTTGATGACGATGACCTAGAGGTGATAACGATCCTAGAGGTGACGCCAAATGCTTAGCAATCGCTTCCTCAGCCGAGGTGATCTTTAACTCATCCGAGCTGGCAAATCCGGAGGTGTCTGAAGACCCGCTTGTCATATCTTTTCGCACAGAAAAGTTCAAGGTCACCAATACACTGATTAACAACGGAAGTTCTGCCGATATTCTATTATTTTCAACGTTGAAAAGCATGAAGAAAGGCCTCGAAGACCTTAAGCCATCGACTACTCAACTAGTGGGCTTCTCAGGGTCCAAGATCAAGGTGCTACGTGTAATCACATTGCGCGTAACGATCGGAGAGGTGAACGTCACCAAAACAAAGAACATGGAGTTTCACGTAGCAGACTTCCCATCTGCGTACAATGCGATATTGGGTCGAGGTTTCTTGTCCACATTCGAGGTGGTACCATCTACATGTCATCAGAGGTTGAAGTTTCTCGTGGGAAATGGAGTGGGATGCGTGGAAGGGAATTCCCAGCAGGCTAAAGAATGCTACCAAGCAATGATCAAACAACTGGACGTAGACTTGGTGGACACACGAGGAGACTCCCCAAGGTCGGAAGCCCTTGAAGGCGATATCGAAGTTGCTTTGCATGAGTAAGAGCCAGAGAAAAAGGTGAAGGTGTCGGCACACCTTCCCCTTAAGCAAGCTACAGAAATGCTGAATCTCCTGCGCGAGTTTGCAGACCTATTCGCATGGGGGTCTGAGGACATGCCAGGCATGCCGCGAGAGCTGGCCGAGCATCGCCTCTCGGTCAAGCCAAACACGCGCCCCATTCAACAGAAGCGTAGGAACATCTCCATCGAGAAGCAAATGGCTTTGGAAGAGGAAATTCAAAAATTGTTGAAGACAAGATTTATCAAGGAAGTGCGGTATCCCACGTGGTTAGCTAATCCATTCTTCGTAAAGAAAAGCTCAGGCCTGTGGTGAATGTGCGTTGACTTTACAAGCCTCAACAGCGCGTGTCCCAAGGACCCTTACCCGCTCCCCCGAATTGATCAGCTTATCGACGCCACCGCTAATCACGTCATGCTCAATTTTCTGGACATGTTCTTAGGATATCACTAGATCAGCCTCTCCGAAGAAGACCAAGAGAAGACAGACTTCATGATGCCTACGGGAAATTACTGCTGGATGGTGATGCCCTTCAGCCTAAAGAACGCTGGCGCAACTTATCAGCGAATGGTGGATACAGTGTTGCGCAACCAGATATGTAGGAATGTGGAGGCGTACGTCTACGATGTCCTCGTGAAGAGTAAAGAAACGGGAATGCACTTGGAAGATCTAAGGGAGACGTTCACTAGCATGAGAAAACATGGGTTACGGCTGAACCCATCAAAGTGCGTATTTGGAGTCGAAGGGGGGAAGTTCTTGGGTTTTCTAGTCACGAAGTGAGGAATCGAGGCCAACCCAAAGCAAATTGACACCATCCTAAAGCTGAAGCCTACAAAAACGATAAAGGAAATCCAAGTATTCAATGAGAAGATGGCAGCTTTGAGTCGTTTCATTCCTCGCTCCGCAGATAAGTGCACGCCTTTCTTTCAAGTTCTGAAGAAGTCAACTTCTCGTTTCAAATTGAATGAAGAATGCAGCAAAGCCTTCTTACATCTTAAGGAACAACTATCATCTCCTCTCGTGCTCGGCGCACCAGTGTGTGTGTGTGGGGGGGGGGGGGGGGGAGCGTTTGTTCTTGTATTTGGTTGTTTCCCAACAGGCAGTGATTTTAGTGCTAGTAAGAAGATCGACAGAGGATGGTAAGGACCAACCGGTGTACTACGTCAGCAAGGCGTTGCTCCCGGCAGAGACGAGATACTTGGTGGTCGAGAAGGCAGTACTTGCGGTAGCCATGACCGCTCAGAAGCTCCGCCCATACTTTCAAGGACAACCTATCACCGTCTTATCCAACTTGCCACTGAAAAAGATATAGTAAGGGATGGACGCATATGGGAGGATGACCAAGTGGGCAGTCGAGCTTAGCGAGCACAACATTTCTTACGCCCCCTGTCCCGCTATAAAAGGTCAAGTGCTGGCAGACTTTATTGTCGAAGGTTTCATGCTGGACTGGGAGTTCTATGACGCCCAGAAAATGTGGAAGCTGTCAGTAGATGGTGCAGCCCGAAAAGGCGGAGCGGGAGCAGGCATAGTGATAAAACCCCCAAGGAAATGGTCCATGAAGTTGTTGTGCGTTTTGACACTCTTAAAACCAATAACACTACATAGTACGAGGCGTTGCTCAATGGACTGCAGCTCGTTGCAAGTATGTGAGCAAGAAAGGTGAAGATATACTTAGACTCTTCGCTTGTGGTGGGGCAGGTAAACGGAAACTTCGAAATGAAAGAAGAGGAACTCGTGAAGCTGGTCGGTAAAGCTCAAGCAACTCTGGCGCAAATGGAGGAGTGGTCACTAGAGCATGTCAGGCATGAAAGAAATGGGCACGCTGACAAGTCACGGTTAGCAAAGAAGTAGACAAGCTGGATAGCGTGATTGATCTGTTGGGACCTTTCCCAAACGCGCCGCTGGGGAAGAAATATTTGGTGGTAGCTGTCGACTATTTCACCAAGTGGATAGAAGCGGAGCCTCTTGAAGCCATAACCAGCGCGCGAGTGCAAAAGTTCCTTTTCCACAACATCATGATACGCTTCGGGATCCCGGAAACTATCATAATCGACCACGGGACTCAGTTCAACTATCACCCGTTTTAGAAGTTTTGCGCAGAGCACAACATCAAGTGCAGCATGGCATCTGTGGCGTTCCCACAAGCGAATGGTCAAGTGGAGTCATCTAACAAGCTCATACTAAGAGGACTAAAAAGGAGGCTAGGCGAGGCAAATGGGGCTTGGACCACAGAGCTCCCTCACATCTTGTGGGCACATCGCACAACATATAAGACAACAACTGGTGAGACACCTTTTGCTCTAACCTACGGGTGCAAAGCGATGGTTCCGACGGAAGTACAACTTCCTACGCTCCGAGTTCGGGCATATCAGCCAGAAGAGAACCACGATAACCTCCTTCACCAACTTGATATGACAGAGAAAAGAAGAGAAGCATCTCTCATGCACACCATTGAAGAAAAGGCAAAGGTAACAAGGGCGTACAACGACAAAATGCGACCACGTCCTTTAAGGGAAGGGGATCTGGTGATAAAGAGGATGTTCGAAAAGAAAGAGAAAGAAAGGCATGGCAAGCTCGCCGCGAGCTAGGAGGGACCCTGCCTCGTCAATGACAAGATAGGACCGAGCACTTATAAGCTGGCAAAGATGGGCGGAGAGCCGGGGAGCAAAACATGGAACTCACTGCACTTGCGCAAGTACCACTTAGCTGACTGAATTATAACTGAATTTTGAGGCATTCAATACACGAATGAAGTCGTGTTTCGACAACTCGTCTTACATGCACAACCTTCAGGGGCAGGAGCTTGCTCATAACACGCCGCCCCGAGGCAGAGCAAGACTCCGACTTTCAAATGCATCCCGGGACATGCGTTGCTCCAAACGTCACCCCGAGGCTAGATAACCCGCCCGCGGAATGCCCTTCAGGGGCAGGAGCTCGCTCATAACACGCCAACACGAGGCAGAGAGAGACTCCGACTTTCAAACGCATCCCGGGACATGGGTTGCTCCAAACGCCACCCCGAGGCTGGATAACCCGTTTGCAAAATGACCTTCAGGGGCAGGAGCTCGCTCATAACACGACACCATGAGGCAAAGTGAGACTCCGACTTTCAAACGCATCCTGGGACATGGGTTGCTCCAAACGCCTCCCCGGGGCTAGCCAACCAGCCCGCAAAATGCCCTTCGTGGGCAGGAGCTCGCTCATAACACACCAACACGAGGCAGAGCAAGACTCCGACTTTCAAACGCATCCCGGGATATGTTTTGCTCCAAACGCCACCCCGAGGCTGGATAACCCGTCTGCGAAATGACCTTCAGGGGTAGGAGCTCGCTCATAACACGACACCACGAGGCAGAGCGAGACTCCGACTTTCAAACGCATCCTAGGACATGGGTTGCTCCAAACGCCTCCCTCGAGCTAGACAACCAGCCCTCAAAATGCCCTTTAGGGGCAGGAGCTCGCTCATAACACACCAACACGAGGCAGATCGAGATTCCGACTTTCAAACACATCCCGGGACATGGGTTGCTCCAAACGCCACCCGGAGGCTGGACAACCTGCCCGCGGAATGTCTTTAGGGGCAGAAGCTTGCTCATAACATGCCACCCCGAGGCAGAGCGAGACTCCGACTTTCAAAGGCATCCCGGGACATGGGTTGCTCCAAACGAACCCCGAGGATGGACAACCCACCCGCAGAATGCCCTTCAGGGCCAGGAGCTCGCTCATAACACGCCACCTTGAGGCAGAGCGAGACTCCGACTTTCAAACGCATCATGGGACATGGGTTTCTCCAAACGCTACCCTGAGGCTTGAAAACCCGCCCGCGGAATGCCCTTCAGAGGCAGGAGCTCGCTCATAACACGCCACCCCGAGGCAGAGAGAGACTCCGACTTTCAAACGCATTATGGTACATGGGTTGCTCCAAACGCCACCCTGAGGCTGGACAACCCGCCCGCAGAATGCCCTTTAGGGACAGGAGCTTGCTCATAACACGCCACCCCGAGGCAGATCGAGACTCCGACTTTCATACGCATTCCGGGACATCGGTCACTCCAAATGCCGCCCCCGAGGCTGGACAACCCGCCCTCAGAATGCACTCAGGGGAAGGAGCTCGCTCATAACACGCCAACACGAGGTAGAGCGAGACTCAGACTTTCAAACGCATCCCGGGACATGGGTTGCTCCAAACGCCGCCCCGAGGCTAGACAACCCGCCTGTGGATCCCTTCTGCTGGAAAGGATTTCTCTTGCACCCGAGGAAAGGCGTGATCTCAGCCAAATCGGTCCCAATCCCGCCTGGAGATTTCTAGGCCTAAACAGCAATCATTAAAGCCGAAAGGAAAGAAGTTCGGGTGTACTACATGTGGGGTTGTTGGTCACACTAAAAAGTTCCATGATGAAGAAAGGAAGAAACAGGTGGGGGAAAGGAAAAAGGCTAAGGAAGAAGCTAAAAGAGTTAAACAGCTAGAAAGAGCATAAAGAAATCGGTTGGCAGCCCTACAAAGGCAGCAACAGAGGGTTGCAAAAGCGGCTGTTTCATTGCGATTGAGAAAGCCCAACACTTTCCAGCTTATGCCAGATGTATTGATCCATTCAATTGTAAAATTTTGATATCTAATGACTCAATACAAGCTTCTAATGTTGTTTTAACTTTGCAAGGAACTACTAGGAGGCAACGAATTCAGGCATCACAACAGCTCAACCAAGGATGTGGAAGATCACAAAATGCAAGCCAAGTGACTCAAGAGAATATGTGAAGATCAGTTGTAGTTTAAGTCCAAATGATAATTACTATTTTGAAGCCTCCAATCCAATGGCTAGTCAATGTAGACTTGATATCTTGACAAGCTAGTAGAAGTTGCCTTTTGCTTTGTCGTATTAGCTAGCCTATTAGGTCATGGTGCATTGCTCTTTTGGAGAAACACTGTCCTTGAGGCTGTAATTATCATTTGGACCTTGTAAGACTATAAGTTTTATGAATGACTATCAGGTTAATCAATCTTTCAGTATCATTGTAAGGTTTTTTTTTTGTACAAATACTTGCCTTGTTGTTCCAACAGAGCTGCATTCTGAGAGTGACCAAATGTGATACAACATTGAATTTGAAGTGACCAAACATGAAACAAATATGCAATTCAAGTGACCAAACATGATACCAAATTGCAATTAGAGTGACCAAACATGAAACAACTTAGCAATTCAAGTGACCATAGCTAAAATGGATAATACCAGGGTTACACATTGTCAACAACTAAATAGAACCTTCGATTACAGCAGCTACCTTCAAAAGATTACAACAGCTACAACTACACAGAAGACTAATCACTTTCCTATCCAAAAAAAAAAATACAATAGCTCCTAAAATGATGACCGACACCATTTTTCGCTCAAACTTGGACCCTTTCTTGTTTTGCCTCTTCTCTAACTCCCAAATTCAAAGATGAAAGTTCAGCACCACATTTCTCATATGCTCATCAACGGCTGGGTCAAGCCATTTGAAGTAGTTACATGCTCCATCTGTCTACACATCGTCGCACAAAAAAATAGAAGGATGAAAAAGGCAAAATAATAGTCGAATGGTAACAGTAAAAAGGAAACAAAGGTGGATGAAATCTTAACCCATATCTGCTGCACCCATAAAACCTTCTCTCTGGATTCACATTAGTCCAGCTCTTCTTTAGATCAGTTGGCTCTCCATAGTGACAGAAGGGTGCCGCCATTGGTAGAGGGGAAATGAGAGGAGAAAATACAAAAGGAGGAGGAAAGGAACAAATGGATGGGGAGGGGGTGATTCTCGGCCAAATTCAGAAGGAGGGAGAGAGCATATGGTTATGATTTAGGAAGATGGAAGCCTTCATTTAGAGGGGTAGACTTATAAAAAAGATCAAGAGGGTCGGGTCTTGGGTTGGCTCGCTGGTTGGGTAAGGAGGGCTGACATGGCGGTTAAATCTGACGTGGCAGGTCGATTCATCGATTTTTAGGGTTAAATTGAGATGACAGGGATTTTTAGTTTGACACGTCATCACTTAACAGCCTTCGTTAACGGAGTATGGCGGAGGTTGACGGAGAGTGACCAAACTTTGGTTGTTTAACTAATTTAAGTGACTATGGATGGAACAAACTAATTTCAGTGGCAAACGTGAACTTTTATAGCAATTCGAGTGACCAAACTTGCGATTTAGCCCTATTAATTGTATCAATGGCACAAAATGCGTCAGTTTTTTTCTACACAATTGGTTGATGGAGACTAGGTATGGCAATGGGTCGGGTTGGATCGGATTTTGCCAAACCCAAACCCATGGGTTTATCCGTAAAAAAATCCGGGGTAAAATCCATTGGGTTTGGAAAACTCAAACCCAACCCAACCCGCTGGGTATTCGTGGGTCCATGGGTACCCATGGGTTTTTGTGGTAAAAAATTTACATTAAATAAAAACACACGAAATAAGTGTAGTGAGAGTTAGATTGGGGAAATTAGAATTAAGGTAGGGTTTGGGGAGAGTACAGCGACGAAATAAGTGTGGGCGGGTATTCATGGGTCGGGTATCCCTAAACCCAAACCCAATATGATGAATAGTGTATGGGTTAACCCGAACCCGACCCGAAACCCGTCAACACGGATTTACCCGCGTTGACCGGGTTGGGTCGGGTATAGGGATGGCAATGGGTCGGGTCGGGGGCGGATAGTGCATATCCGTTACCCTACCCAATGTAGTTCGGGTTTTACCCATACCCGTACCCATACGAGAAACGGGTAGAAAATCAAAACCTTGCCCATACCCGTTCGGGTTTCGCGTATCCACGATTATCCATGAGTAATAATTTCTCCTTATAATTCTAACCAATATGTTAACATTCACACGTATACTTACATGACGTAAGAGGAAAAGTACGACAATAATTCACTAGAATGACGAAAATTAATTAAAACAACATAATTTCATGAAAATATTATATTTATATGCTAAATATAAAATATTCTAGAGAAAAATAATGATTATTTCTAGACAAAATACATATGCATGTGTATAATCGGGCGGGTTCGGGTTGGATAGTGAGATAACCATGCCCACCCATTACCCGCAACATTCGGGTTCGGGTTTTACCCGTACCCACGAAAAATGCTTCGGATTCGGGTTTTACCCTACCCGATTAGGTCGGATTCGGGTGGATATCCACGGTTACGGATATTTTTGCCATCCCTAGTCGGGTAGGGTACCCGTGGGTTCGGATTTTGTTGCCATCCCTAATGGAAACATGGACTAATAAAAATTTTGACACGAATACTACATATCCACATCAACTGCACTCATCCGCAATGTCGGAGTCATGAATTTTATATATGGGGTGTCTTCTTCCATAAAATACAATATATTTAAATAATAATTAGAAATTAAAAAAAAATTGATTAGTATAAGTTATAACAAAAACTTGTTTTCATATTCTGAAAAAGTTGTAAATACAATCACTGTTTATAGTGCTAAAAGATCTCTTTCAGTATATCCTACTAGACAGTGATTCCTGAACTAATAGTCTATTTGAATAATGGATAGCTATGTTATAGTCATACCTATGTCTTGAACAGAATAACAAGTGAGTTAAGGTCTAATTGAGAATATAATTATTAATAACAACAATTTCAGGAGTTCAAATCATATAAACAACCTCCTATTTTTCTGTTTTTTCTATACTCAAACTATACTCAAACTACTACCGGGAGATTGATAATCGTTTTTCTATCGGCCATGAAGGACAGATGGAGACCCTTCCGACTTCCTGCAGTACTGGCCCGACCCATATTGGATCATGGGCTGGCCTGGTAGGAAGAAGCATTTGAAGTGGACCTTGTAAATGACCGGCACCTATACATTGTTTTGCTGTCATAAAAGTATAATCGCTACAAATTTGTCCCCTTCCCTCAACCACTGTAAAATCAAGGCATAAGAAAATCACAGAATGAATCGCTGTGCAACGAGAGGTCGCGAACTGGATGCCCTGATAATCGTTGTGCTGAAACACTGGGAAGGATGCAACACAATCGACAACACGAGAGATCGTCGCGTTTGTGCATACTTTAAACTAGCCCGGTACAACGACACCAAAGACAGGAAAAAGTATCAAGTTGGTCAACTAGTAACTAGACACACGAGGGTGTAATAGTGTACACCATCATATACAAACGACTAAGTGTATTGATCACAAAACCAATGCGAGATCTGCTCTGTTGTGTATATTTTCACCCCACCAACCCAACCATAGAAGTTGAAACCGAAAATATCAAGAGACGAGAAGAAAAAAACCCTACTTTGCTTCGTCTTCAATTCATTCGCTCCCTCCAAACCTTAACTCTCACTCTCATCATCAGAAGCTTCCCTCCATCTTTTGCGACCTGAAAAAGGAGTTCAACAGACAAACCAACTACATGGTCAGTGAAATATTAAAAAAAAACCTTACAACAACAAGCAGTATGATCTCAAACATGTATGCTTCAATGAAATGAATCTATATGATCAATTTTAACCCTAGTCCCCTCACCGGAATTGCATTCCCTGCCACTAAATGGCACTATGCATATTCCTAGGTAAGTGTTTGCTGAAAATGGTCATCCCCTATCCGATCACACTCTTCACCCCGCCAAACAAAGAACAAGGAACAAGAACAAGAAAGACCAGATTCATTCTCCAAGGGATATGCATATCTGGCTTCCACGACTCGCACAATATGCAATCTGAAGAGACCAAAAAAATTCATCTCACCACTACCATACAGAATTGTCTAATGCTCAGTCAAAGGCACAGTTGAATGGAATGGAGTTCCAATTCGGAATCTAAGAAGACGGGAGCATAAGTGCAAGATGGATTTACTCAACCGTGGAATTTCAAAAACAAATAGCCACTACTGATCCTAAGATCTAGTCTAGGGAAGATAACTTATGAAAGCACATAACAAAACCTAATCACATAAGCACTCCGAATAACACATACAACCTACCTGAGCTACACCATGACTCCCCAAAGAATGCCAATGAAACTATCTATACGGAAAAATGCTTAGAAATTTATCAGGCGATGTCCCCCCAAAAGTTTCACTTTGCTCACCTTACTCAACCAACAGATTCTGAATATTCCTTTAGAAAAAAGGAATCGAGAAACATACATAAAGGGCCAATCTAGGCTTAGGAAAACAAAATTGAGGCACCTCAATAATACCTAAGAGAGATACCAACCACAAAAGTTGGCCGTAAAGTTCGTTTGCAACTTAGTATGGAAACTCTACAGAACCTTTCAGTACAAGGAACTACCTCTCAAAGACTAACATACGTTAAGCATATTGTACCCTCAACTTTAAAGCTGAAAACCCTTTCTTCAGATCATATTCCAGGCTCCTCATTAACAAAGAATAACTAAATTCAGCTGAACAAATAAAAATCCCTTCATTCAAACATTCGAAGTATACAAAGGAATCACTAGGCAGCATGGTTAATCTCAAGACACAGAAAGGAAAATTATATAACAAGAACACAGACACCATAAACAATGGCACAAAGAATGATAAAGACCATGCATCAAATAACCCAATTGCAAATTCAGGCACAATTTTGGTCGCCACCAGCTCCCCCATCGCTGCTGGAACCACCCTGCCTGCCAAACGACCATGACAATTGAATGATAAACCTTCTCTCTATCTGACCTCCGGCATCGGGGCTTTGGTTGTTGCCCCCTTGGTCACCGTTGCGCCTCCTGTTCTCGTACTCGGCATCATCAGTGGGCAACTCGTGGCAGCAAACAGGTCATGAATTGTGCAATTTGAGCCAGGGGACAATGCAATCAGGATGATATAGATGCTTACAAGGCATCCGTTTAGCCTCGGCCTCGGTCTCGAACTCATCCTTGCAGACAGCACATTGATTCATCTCGGAATTCAAGGCCTCGTCGGTGATCTTGATGGTAGGGAGGGCGTCGATGGCCAATTTCGAGGCATGAGGGTTCTGTAGCGGTTGGGGTCGTTCTCTGCCAGCTGTTGGATCAGTTGCTTGAGGCCTGGGCCGATGAAGTAATCGCCGAGGTTGGTAGAGGGTGGGTTGTTGTCCATGAAGAACTGGATTCTGGCGCCGTCGTTGTGGAGGTTGTTGAGGTAGTTGCGGAGGAAGTCATAGGGGTTGAATTCGGCTTGATCGGAGGGCGCCGAAGATGTTAGGGTTTTGGAATTCAAAGGTCGCGGTGGAGCCACCGTGGGAGGCGGAGGTGGAGGACGAGGAGGAGAAAAGTAGAGGGAGGAGGGAGAAGGGGCCCATTGGAGGGAAGAAGGAATCACCGAAGGGGGTCGGCGGCGGCAGAGAGATTTGGACCGGGGTTAGGGTTTTCAGCCTCCTCCAAAAAAACCTTCGTAGCAGGAAGGGCAGAGGGGATCGGAGGTCGGGGAAACCGATATGGTGACCGTGCGATTGCATTGGTAGCAGAAGAAAGCCTTTGGTACGGAGGCTTGAAAAAGGTCGGGCTGCTGCGGCGGCGGCGGCGGCGCGTCCGCCGGTTGGAGTTCCTGCGTAAGACATCGGGGAAGAAAGATTGGTGGGCAGATAAATTAGGAAGCGATGACGGGACGAAGAAGAAGGGGAGACTTTCTCTTTCTATCCCGTCGATTATGAAATGGATTAATTGGGAAATTGGGAGTGTTATTACTTATTAGAGAATTATAAACGTGCAGTTGAATTTACTACACACAATGAACTTACGTTTATTTTATTTTAATATGGCCCACCGACCTTAACAACCTTAGTGGATCGGCAACTTGGGCGGGCTAATGTTGTAGGTAAGTTTGTTAAGGCATACTTGCAAAAGGCCCATGGGCCTAAAGTCCATTGAAATGGTATCACAGTGAGCTCGAACAAGATAACTTTATTCAACGTTTGCTTGAAGGCAGGCAAAGATTAATTGATTAATTGGTTGACTGTTAACAGGTAAAGATTTGTTATCAAAGAACAGGTAAATATTTAGGAGTAATTACTACATCTAAATTCGCTAGCCTACCTATTCGTCAAATCTATCCGTTTGTATGGGTTATTGGTTATTTGCAGCACTTGTTGATGTAATAGTAACCAACCGTATATATCTTAGCTATTGATCGAGCTCGTACGCATTACTAAGTAACAATCTCCAAAAAATAAGGATAGTCTGGCTAGAAATCGAATTACGGTGTTACATTTAATAAACCTCAAGTTTAGACACTATGACTATGATTAGCACTTGTGACTTCTCATGTTCGAGTCCATGCAGTGTCCACATCCATGTCCCAAGGGGGTGATTACATGTCATTGTACAAATCCACCTTCCAAAAATGAACCATGTATGCTCTTTTTAACATTACCATATATAAAGCTAAAGTCAAGTTACTATTGCATAAAAAGTTACATTTTGATACCTCATATTTAATTTAAATCACAATTTAGTCACTATAATGTACATTTTATTACATTTTGATACCCCAAATTTAATACAACTTAGTCACTATAATGTAAATTTTACATTTTGATACCCCAAAATCAAATTTAATTAAATTACAACTTCGTCACTGTAACGCACATTTTACATTTTGATACCCCAACTAAAAGAATTGGCCAAAACCTTTCCATTATCTACTTCCTCTTCGTTTCATTTTTTACTCGCCTTCCATAACTCTTTCTTTGTATTCATTGTCTTACCCTAATTAGTATACTATTTTTATGTATTCTAATCACAAGTATGAATGGGTCCATACACGAATGGCCAACAGTCTAGAGAATTATAATTGAACCATTAACTTTTTCAGCTCAATGTCGAGTCCTATTAAAAATAAATATCTATGGTTATTACTTATTAGAAAGTCATCACTTCCACTATGAGATTTGAAGGCGTGAAATTTTAAGCGAGCTCCAATTTGTATTTCTTTTGCTTCTCTCCAGAGTTACATTTATTAGTCAAAAATTAAAAAAACTTTAAATGGGATGTTGACCATCATATATCTCTTCTCAATCAATATCATATTGTCAAGTCAATATTGTTAACAAAAAATTAATTTTATACTAATAATACTAACACACACTATAACGAGTTAGATAATACATGCCCATAGATCATCTCCGCCCCGCGACATGGCACGGCATCGCCACCTAGTATTTGTAAAAATAAGATAATTCCGTCTTTTTGCAATTGTTACGACATTCCGCCACTAAACGTCCGTCCACTTGTTACAAAAGTTGATCCAAATTATTTTTTCACAATCAAACACTCCCTATTTCTTATTCTCTTTCAATGCCTAATTTGTCACATACTGGTTGATACTTATCCTCCATACTAGCTGATAAGCTAGGAGGTAAAAGCAGGACCAAGACCAAGTATGGTACAACTCCAAATATAGAGCTTCCAATTTTTCTATTTTATCAAATATAGATTCCTTTATTTTGATAATCCAAATTTGCAGGGTTCGAAAACAGCAAAAGAGATAATTTAAGACAACGAAGACCAAGAGCAGGATTAAGACAAAACTCTATACTTAACTGACTCGAATACTAAATCATCACCATGCAGTTGCCTACTTTCATGGCTTCCACCATCATATAAAGACGACGATCCCCTCACTGCTCTAAATCAGCACAAACACCACCATTTCTCGCTAATAAACATAATAAGTAATAAGCTCCGTCCTGGTTTCGAGTTCTTATAATGCAGTAGATCAGTATCATCCCAAGTAGATTCTACCACAAAGAAATAAGGTAATTTAACAGAGATCAGACAGCAAACCAGGGGGAAAAAAAAGGGTTAAAAAATGGCTGGAGGAGGCTACGTCCCCGACGACGGAGTGAAGCATTTCGAAGGGCGAATCACCGGCTTCTTGCTCATCACCTGCATAGTGGCAACATGTGGAGGTCTCATCTTCGGATATGACATTGGGATTTCTGGAGGGGTGACCTCCATGGATTCGTTCTTGAGCAAGTTCTTCCCTTCCGTGTACAAGAAGGAAAAAGAAGGACACCACGAGAGCATGTACTGCAAATTCGACAGCCATCTCCTCACATTGTTCACCTCTTCTCTGTACCTCGCGGCGCTGATCGCCTCGGCCTTCGCTGCCTATGTTACGAAATCTTTTGGCCGAAAGATCTCGATGCTCTTCGGAGGCGTGGTGTTCCTCGCGGGGTCGATCATCAACGGGGCAGCAGTAGACGTGGCGATGCTCATCGTCGGCCGCTTGCTGCTCGGAGTTGGGGTCGGGTTCGCCAACCAGTCGGTCCCGCTGTATCTCTCCGAGATGGCGCCTTCCCATCTCAGGGGAGCGCTCAACATTGGGTTCCAGATGGCGATCACGATCGGGATCTTGGTCGCCGGTCTGATCAATTTCGCGTTTGCTTCCCAGGTATGGGGATGGAGAGCCTCTTTGGGACTTGCTGCCGTCCCTGCCATCATGATTGCCGTGGGATCCATCTTCCTACCGGACACCCCGAACTCGATCCTGGCTCGAGGCAACCCCGAGAAGGCAAGGGAGATGTTGAAGAAGATCCGCGGTACAGAGCAGGTGGATGCGGAGTTCCAGGACCTCGTCGACGCGACCCATGCTGCGGAGAGAGTGGATAACTCGTGGAAGACCATCTTGAAGCCGCAGTACAGACCTCATCTAGCTATTTGCTTCCTCGTCCCATTCTTCCAGCAGCTCACTGGGATCAATGTGATCATGTTCTACGCGCCGGTCCTGTTCAAGACTCTGGGATTCGGCGACGATGCTTCCCTCATGTCGGCTGTCATCACTGGCCTCGTCAATGTCTTCGCCACGTTCCTCTCGATCTTGGCGGTGGACAGGTTGGGGAGGAGGATTCTGTTCCTGGAAGGCGGCATCCAAATGATTATTAGCCAGGTAAGGCTGACAATCATAATGTATGTTATTTCCCCCCAACATCATCCACACCATCATTAGAACGTTTCCTCTCTAACATTGTGTGCGTGCTGCAGGTGCTTGTTGCGGTGATGATCGCCAAGGCATTTGGGACAGCAGGAGTTGGGGAGCTAACGAAAGGTGAATCGATGCTTGTGCTCATCTTTATCTGCTTCTACGTGGCGGCATTCGCGTGGTCGTGGGGGCCGTTGGGGTGGCTGGTGCCGAGCGAGATCTGCCCGCTGGAGATCCGATCGGCGGGGCAAGCCATCAATGTTGCTGTGAACATGGCCTTCACGTTCATCATCGGCCAGTTCTTCCTCACCATGCTCTGCCACATGAAGTACGGGCTTTTCCTCTTCTTCGCCGCCTGGGTGGTGGTGATGACACTCTTCATCTTCTTCTTCCTGCCAGAGACCAAGAACGTCCCCATTGAAGAGATGAACAATGTGTGGAAGAAGCACTGGTTCTGGGGAAAGTATATCCCAGATGACGCCGTGGTTGGCACAGCCAGCAAAACCAAGATCAAGGACATGGAGGATTGAAGATGAAGCACGTAGGATTTCAGTGTTTTCTGAGGGGGATCAGGGCTTTGTTTTTTTTCTTTTTTTAATAAGGACAGAAAATAGTGAAATGCTCAAGAAAAAAGGACCATCGAGGTAAGGCAGGAGTAGAGTTTGTAGGCGACAGTAGTTTTAGTTTGGGAGCTACTTGTTGCTTGAGCAATAACCCCTGAATTCTGTTTGGGGGATTCTGGAAAGCTGAGTTCCTTTCCTTTCTCAACAAAGACCAAGCAAGCACTAGTTTGTCACTCTGTCTCTGTCTCTGTCTCTCTCTGTTCCGCCATAGACACTACATTTCAACTTGAAAGAAAACCTCCTCAGGAAACGTTTCTCAAACAACAAGAACAAGGTTAAGCATTTTACTGCAAAGAGTAACAAGCTTTACATTCAAGATTATGGAAGCCACAACCCATTTGAAAACAAGGGGTTCAATTTCATTCAATTATAGCAGCATTTTGACACAGTTATATAGATGTCCACAACAAAGAATAGAGCAAAAATTCCTTCTTCTGCCACAAGTCAAGTGGGAAGAAAGGACGGGTTTCATCATAAGCTACTACTTGCTATAGCTGTAAGTAAGTTACTATGCAACTGAGATGGAGTCCAAGAGTGAATCGACATACTCTTTGAGCTTCGCCTTTGTAATAGCACCTTCCCTCCGGCTCCCGGCCACTTCCTGTCCGTCCTTGAAGAGCATCAAAGCGGGCAATCCATAGACTTTGTACTCTTCTATTAGCTTTGGATTCGCGTCGTGATCGATCTTCACAACCTTCAATGTGTCAGCATATTCCTGAAGATAAAAAACCCAAGAGAATCGTCAAGTTCGTATCTTTCTCCATCGAGAGAGAATGGGCTAGTGGCAGTTCGTTAAACGTTGAAGTTGTTCTGTGAAGGGTCAAAATCATTCGTATCCTAACAGCCCCAAGGACCGGACCCTAATCAACCTTAAAGAGTCCCAAAATCCCATAGTTCTCTGTAACAGGGGAGAGAATGAAGATGCAATGAAATGAAAGAAGACCTTAGCGAGCCATTCCATGGCGGGAGAGATCAAGCGACAAGGGCCGCACCAATTAGCAACGAACTCAACGAGGACCGGGCGGTCGGAGCTGAGCACAACGGACGGGAACTCGGCCTCTGTAATCTGGGTAATTGCGGAAGACGAAGAAGAGGCACCGCATCTGACGGTGGAATAGGAGGAGGACGGAAGAACTAGTTTGGGGTTTGGAAATGGGTTACTGCCCAATGACGATGAATAGGACGAGCGCGGCCGCTTGGTGGCGCTGGCAAAACTCCAGTTCCGGCCAGAAGAAGGAAGAAGGGAAGAGGAAATTTGTGGCGGCGACTGAAGGAGAGGAAGAGGAAGGTGGTGTTGATGGGAAGCGGCGAGAGCTTCCATTGCAGTACCAGTTGGAGAATGAAAACGAGAGATGCAGGCAGACTCCGTCGGATTAGATGACTGGTAAATTATAACTGAGTTTAAGGAAGAAATAAGAATCTGCCTGGCCAGCCATTTCTCCCGTCAGATTCGAGTCACCCGTTCCCCTGCCTTAGCTGGCTAGCTCTTGTGTCGTTTTCCGCACCTCTTCCTTGCCTGAAAGGACGTCGACAATGCAATAGATGATTTATTCCTTTCTATATATGGGTAACCACAATGGACACACATTCAACTTGGGACCAAGATAATGAAGATGATCAAGTAATGCACCCATCTAAACCTTCACTTTCAATGTCTGACATACTAATGGAAGGAATTTTGCCTTCTGCTATGATATCCCTAATGCTCGACGAAGTCCTACTGTCTCTCAACAGCTGGATAACTGCATCTCTTGCGATTGCGGGGTTCTTGTCGAGCTTACCCTGGAAACTTCCCTCATCAGCCATCTCCTTCACCATTTCCAAAGCCGAAGGATGGTTCAGTTCGGCAAGGAAAGCGCTTATCAACGCTGTGTACACATAACCATCTGGTTTCATCCCTCTCAACTTCATCTCCCGCAAATGCACCGCAGCCTCATTGGTCCTTCCGCACTTGCAGAGACCATGAACGAGAGCCATGAAAGCAATGTTGCCAGGAACCAAGCCCTTCACCGCAACCATCTCGTTCCACACTGCGAGAGCTTCCTCCGGTCTTCCAGCGTTGCACAGTCCATTCATGAGAGTGGTATAAGTGATCACATTGGGCTCCCTCCCTTTATCAAACATTTCAGAGAGGCAGCGCATGGCAGCCTCGACAGAACCGTTCTTGCACCACCCATCTATGAGCGAGTTGTAGGTAACTACTGATGGAACAAGCCCTTTCGTTATCATCTCGTTAAGAAGTTCCTCGGCTTCTGCAACTCTCCTGACCTGACAAAGTCCTTTCATCATCGTGTTGTAAGCAACCACATCAGGGTAGTTACCTCGAGCAACAATGTCTCGAAACAGCTCCATAGCCAGATCCACCTCCTTAATCCTGATCAATCCATCCAATGCGGCTGAGTAAGCGATCATATCAGGTACAAAACCTTCCTCAACCACATCGTCAAGGAACTTGCAAGCTTCTACTGCCTTCCTATGCTTGCAGAGTTCCTTCACCATTAAGGTACAGTGTTTTATCCAGGGGTCGTGCCCATGAACTCGCATCTTTTTCACCAGATCGAGAGCTCCTGCGACGTCCATTCTTTTGCATAGGCACCCAAATATTGAGTTATGAGTAAACGGGGATGGTACCAATCCTGATTCCTCCATCTCTCTCAGAATCTCGAAACTTTCCTCCAATCTATCAGAACTGCAAAAACCAGATATTAAGTTGTTATAGATCAATAGATTTGGTTTACAGCCAATCTTCTTAGGCATATCTCGAAAGAGACCAACTGCCATGTCCAGCTTACCAGCCTTGACCAGCCCATCGATAACAACACAAAAACTATCAGCATTTGGGTCATTTTCCCAGCAGAACTCATCCCCCTGGAGATCATAATTGCAGCCTTTTTTCATCAACATTCGAAGAAGTCCGTACGCTTTGTTGATCGAACCATTATTAACAAGAACAGTCAATAATGAATTGTAGAGCATAGTCAAAGCTTCCAGATTCATATCTCTACGAATTTCCGTATACAGGCGCTTTAGTTCGCCTTCATCTCTGCAAGAAGATATAAGCTTTGTGATTATGCCAGTATCCGTTTGGACTTTGAACTCCTTCATCTCAGCATACAAACCTAAAGCTTTGTCCAGTTCTTTAGCAGTACTGAACACTCCAATTAGAACATCGTAGAGAGAAATATCAGGCACAAACCCGGAATCCTTCATCTTATCAAACAATTGGAGAGCCCTGTCCAATCTAGCCTGCTTCACGAAACCATGAATCAAAACGATAAAAGTCTTCTCAGTGACTCCAACATTTCGAGCTTCCATAACCTCAATCAACTCAAACGCCTTGTCCACCTGACCCCACTTTGTAAGACCCAACGCCAGTATGGAGAACAAGTACCCATCAAGAAATCCACGATCAGAAATCATGTTGAAGACATCAAATGCTTTATCGAATCTCCCCGCATTACAATAAACCTGCAGGACTGGGGTCAGAGTATACTTGTCGAGCACAAAGCCACGGTCGGACATCTCCTTCAACTTGGCATCAACCAGATCCACACAAGTCGACTTGGACACAGCCTCAAGCAAGCAATTATAAGCGTAGACGTTGGGGAAGCAAAGACCCTCGCTTTGAACTTGGTCAAACAAGGAATTGGCTTCGTCGACAAGCCCAGCACCCCCGAAGCAGCGAATGAAGAAACCCAGAGCCCCAGGGGTCATGGGACACCTGGAGCGGAGGATCTGTACGGACAAGGCTCTAAGTGGGGCAATTTGTCGAGCACGTGATAGGATGGACGCCATGGCATTGAAAGTGTAGGCATTGTGGCTGTATCCTTGCTGGTTGGATGCCCATGTGAAGAAAATGTGAGCGCGGTTCCAGCTCTGGAAAGAATACAAGACGGTTTCGACGAGCTTGGGGTTGAGGAAGGGGGCAAGTGCGTGGAGGTCGGGATCGTCGTCGGGGGAAGTATTAGGGTTCTTGGTGAAGATGGTGTGGAGCTGATGGGCGAGGTTGGTGTCGGTGTAGATGAGAAGCGAAGAGATGAAACTCCGGAAGACATTGTTATTGTGAGGGAACTGTTTCAATCGGCTTCGGAGGCAGAGGGCCTTCATTTCTCAGCTTGCCCTGTGTCAATTTCATCGGTTCATTGCACCGCAGCCGGAGTTCCTCCGTCAGCAGAGGGCGTTTCGCAAGTTCACAGAGCCCAGAACTTCCGATTTTAGGAAGACTATATAGGGGGTGGCAGAAGGGTTTTCGGTTAGCAGTTAATCGGACGGTTTCAAGCGAACCAATCAGTTTTCGGCTAATCGAAAAATCGGTCTGAATGCATCGGTCGGTTGGCGGTCGGGAAGGGCAGGGCTTTGGCTAGCCGACTAACTGAGGTCGGAAACCAGCGATTAAACGGCTAACCAATCCCTTCCCTTTCCCCAAAAAATGACCCCGCTTCAGCCCCCACTAACCCTAAGCTCCATCCATTCTTCCCATCCTCCTCCCAATTCCCAAATCAATCGACTTCCCCTTCCCCCATCGCCTTCCCCCTTCCCCCTTCTCGCCTTCTCGCGCAGCCCACATCCCCTTCCCCCTTCTCACCTTCTCGCGCAGCGGCGCAGGCGCTCCATCCCTCCACCTCGTCGCCCCACCGCCTTCACCTCGTCGCCCCGCCGCCTCCACCATCGTTCCACCAGCAGGCAGCAGCAGCCAGACAACAACCCCGCTGATGAGGTCATCAAATCCAAGTCCAATTCATCACACGAAGGTCTAATTACTCGTCTACAAGCCAAGAGATTAAGAGAGGAATTTGCTGCTTATTTGGATCGACATTATGCTCAATTGGACATGGACCAACATCATGGGAAGCCCATTATACTTCTACAATTCGTGGACCAGCATGGAGGCAACTTGGGCTTCAAGGAAGATGGATATGAAGGCTAGATTTTAAGGAGTTGTTGACTTGGTCTTTTCCTTGTCTTTTAAGGATTGTGTTTTCCTTTTACTTTTCCTTTAAGGTTTTGTTTTCCTTTAATTGTAGGATTTGGTCATTTGTTTGCTTTCTTTCTTAGTTTAGGATTGGATTTTTGTTGCCTATATAAGGAGGATGAGTTCCTCATTGTAATTCATTCTATTATCAATCAACTTTCAAGTTTCAAGTTCAAACGAACTGGTTCTTTATGCAAGCTTCTGTCGAGAGTGCTCCAGAGGTTTCACGTGTCTCTTATCAACTAGAGAACGCGTCTAGTTGTGGCGAGCTTCTACCCTATATCAATTGCCCCTTTCCACGAGTTGGTGTTGTCCGATTGGTTTCATATACCAATTGCCCTTCATCACGGTTGGGATTGTCCAATTGATTCCGCATCTATCTTTATTTTTCGAGTTCAAGAAAGGCGACATCAGAAAATCATAAAAATATCGTTGGAGCTGCGTACTTTGGTTACATCAAGTGGTATCAAGAGCCCGGTTCAAACACAACGGAGAAGAAGAAGGTTCTTGGGAATCTTGACGTGTTCTTGAAGCAATCTTGGCGAATTCTTGTGGGCTTTCAGCGCAAGAAACACTACCTTGTGCCACAAGAATGGATGATCCAATGAAGGCAATGATGGATCAATTGGCAGAAATTCAGCGAACCCTAGCAGCCAACGCCGCCGACGTTAATGCACGATTCGCCATAGTCGAAGCAAGGCTAGCCGCGCCTCAAGCTCCTGCGCAAGAAGCACCACCAAACCCTAATGCCGAGAGGCCTAGGCGAGAAGATGAAGAGTGAGGAGAAAGGAGGATTGTTCCGCAACCCATGGCCGAACAATTGAGGCGCCATCGTCCTTTGGGGATGCCGCGAGCAAGGAGAGGGAATCCTCGAGTGCAAGACGAAGAAGGCGAGTATGACGACGATGATGCCAACCTTAGAGAAGTTGAAGACGAATTGAGAAATGTGAGGGTCACTATTCCATCATTCAGAGGTTCTACCGATCCCGAAGCTTATCTTGATTGGGAAAGAAAAATGGAGATGATTTTCGACTATCACAACTATTCCGAGAGGAAGAAAGTTCAAATGGCTGCAATGGAATTCACGGATTATGCTATCATCTGGTGGGATCAAATTTGTACGAGAAGAAGGAGGGATAGGCAACGCCCTATTGAGACATGGGAAGAGATGAGGAGCATCATGCGGGATAAATTCGTCCCTAGCTGCCATCATATGGAGATGTATCAAGCCCTACAAACCTTACGACAAGGTACAAAAAGTGTAGAGGATTACTACAAGGAGATGGAGATGATGATGATTAGAGCTGACCTCGTAGAGGAGAATGAAGCCACCATAGCACGATTCCTACACGGTCTCAATCGAGAAATCAGGAATGTGGTGGAAATTCAACCATTTAGAGAGTTATACGATTTGGTTGCAATGGCGGCCAAAGTTGAGAAGCAACAACGTAGTAACCTTGGAAGAAGGTTCACACCTCCCTCTAGTGCACCAAGGCCAGGAGTGCCTCCGACTTCAAACCCTAAGCTAGCCATTTCTAAACCAGAAGCACCAAAGGTGGCAGCCAAGGTTGAAGCTTCAAGAGAGAGACCCACAAGCTCTAGTGGAGGAATTCAATGCTTCAAGTGCCATGGAAGAGGACATATGGCCAACCAATGTCCTAACAAGAGAGCTCTAGTCATGTTGGAGAATGGAGAGTATGTCTCGGATTCTGAGGAAGAAAAGGAGGCTAATTCAAATTTTGATGTGGACGAGAAGATAGAGATGGAGGAGGCACCACCAGGAGAGCTTTTCGTAGCTAGAAGAATTCTAAGTGTGCAACCCAAAGAGGAGCTTGAGCAAAGAGAGAATTTGTTCCATACAAGGTGCACGGTGGATGGGAAATTACCCTCGTTGGTAATTGATGGTGGAAGCTGCACTAATGTCATTAGTGTCTATTCGGTTAAGAAGTTGGGATTAAACACTTTGAAGCATCCGAAGCCATATACACTTCAATGGCTCAATGATCATGGCGCCATCAAAGTAACAAAGCAAGCTCTCTTGAAGTTTTCGATTGGAAGGTATGAAGATGAGATCTTATGTGATGTTGTGCCTATGCAAGCGACGCATGTCTTATTTGGGAGGCCATGGCAATTTGATCAAAAGGCACATCACGATGGAGTTACTAATACGTACGAGCTAGTACATGGCGGGAAGAAATTCATGTTGAAACCCCTATCTTCCAAGGAAATTTATGAAGATCAACTCCAAATGCAACGAAAGTTGGCAAAGGAGAAGGAGCAGGAATCTCAAGTCACGAACAAGAGTGTACATGGGGGGTCTAGTGCCGTGGAGACCAAGTCATTGATGATAGCACGAAGTGGAGACGTGAAGCAAGCAGTAAATGATCATGAAATAATGATCATGATCATCTATAAGGGTGTGCTACTCAATCAAGAGCTTATTCAAGAGATACCACCTAGGGCACGAGTGGTATTAGAAGAATTTGAAGATGTCTTCCCCGAGGAAGCTCCAAAAGGCCTACCTCCAATCCGTGGGATAGAGCATCAAATTGATTTTGTTCCTGGAGCTACAATCCCAAACAAGGCAGCTTATAGGACGAATCCAGAGGAGACGAAGGAGTTGTAGAGGCAGATTGATGAGCTTATGGAGAAAGGACATGTTCGAGAGAGCATGAGTCCCTGTACAGTTCCTGTCATCCTCGTGCCCAAGAAGGACCATACGTGGAGAATGTGTGTTGATTGCCGAGCAGTCAACCAAATAACAATTAATTATCGTCATCCTATACCTCGATTAGATGATATGCTTGACGAGTTGCATGGTTCTAGTTTGTTTTCAAAGATTTATCTGAGGTCGGGATATCACCAAATCCGAATGAAGGAAGGAGATGAATGGAAGAATGCCTTCAAGACGAAGCATGGCTTATACGAGTGGATGGTGATGCCCTTTGGTCTTACTAATGCGCCAAGCACATTCATGAGGTTGATGAACCACGTGTTAAGAGCTTTTATTGGGAAGTTCGTGGTTGTCTACTTCGATGACATTCTGATCTATTCGAAGAACATGGAGGAACATCTTGAGCATTTGCGAGAAGTGTTGAAGACTTTGAGGAAGGAGCAGCTCTATGCCAATCTGAAGAAGTGCACATTCTGTAACTCGAGGGTGGTATTTTTGGGATTCATAGTAAGTGCCAATGGTGTTGAGGTCGATGAAGAGAAGGTGAAGGCAATTCAAGCATGGCCTACCCCGACGAACGTGAATGAAGTGAGGAGTTTTCATGGGTTGGCTGGTTTCTATCGACGATTTGTTCCAAATTTTAGCACCATTGCCGCCCCATTGACATCCATTATCAAGAAGAATGTGACATTTTATTGGGGAGAAGAGCAAGAGAAGGCATTCGAGCTACTCAAGTACAAACTCACTCATGCTCATGTTCTGATGCTACCTGATTTTGACAAAACTTTTGAAGTGGAGTGTGATGCATCAGGATTGGGAATTGGAGCTGTATTGATGCAAGAGAAGAAGCCTATCGCTTACTTTTGCGAAAAATTGAGTGGAGCTACGCTTAACTATCCTACCTACGATAAGGAGCTCTATGCATTGGTTCGAGCCCTAGAGACATGGCAGCACTATTTGTGGCCCAAAGAATTCATGATCCATACTGACCATGAGTCTCTCAAGTATTTGAAGGCCCAACACAAGTTAAACAAGAGGCATGCTCGTTGGGTGGAGTTTATTGAGTCATTCCCCTACGTGATCAAGTATAAACAAGGCAAGGAGAATGTGGTTTCTGATGCTTTATCAAGGAGATACACGTTGATCACTACTATGGATGCTAAGTACCTTGGATTTGAGCAAATCAAGGCTGCTTATGAAGGGGATTTCGACTTTGGAGAAATTTACAAGGCTTGTGAGAAGCATGGAGAAGGGAAGTTCTACCGAAGAGATGGTTATCTCTTTCGAGGTAATCAATTGTGTATACCTAGAACATCACTTCGAGAGCTTTTGTTGAAGGAAGCTCATGGAGGAGGATTGATGGCTAACTTTGGTGTAGCCAAGACGCTAAGTTGTTTACAAGAGCATTTCTATTGGCCTCACATGAAAGGAGACATGGAGAATTTATGTGCAAGATGTGTGGAGTGCCAGCATGCTAAATCGAAGATGCAACCATCAGGGTTGTACACACCACTACCTATTCCTTATGCACCATGGGTCGACATTTCAATGGATTTCGTGCTAGGATTGCCGAGGACAAGAAGAGGCAGGGATTCAATTTTTGTGGTGGTGGATAGTTTCTCGAAGATGGCACATTTCATTCCATGCCATAAGACGGATAATGCAAACAATGTGGCTGATTTGTTCTTCAAGGAGATCGTGAGATTGCATGGAATGCCGCGTACCATTGTGTCTGATCGAGATGCAAAGTTTCTGAGCTATTTTTGGAAGACGTTGTGGAGTAAACTCGACACAAAGCTTCTGTTTTCGACAACTTGTCATCCTCAAACGGATGGACAAACTGAAGTGGTCAATCGTACTCTATCCGAAATGCTACGAGCCATGATCAAGAGCAACATCAAAACTTGGAAAGATTGTCTACCACATGTCGAGTTTGCCTACAATCGAGCTATGCATTCAACCACAAAGCATTCACCTTTCGAGCTCGTGTATGGGTTCAATCCACTTGCACCATTGGATTTGACACCTCTGCCATTGAAGGAACAAGTCAACATGGATGGAGCAAAGAAGGCCGAATTGTGAAGAATCTCCATGAGAAAGCAAGATTGAACATCGAGAGAAGGACGGAGCAAATCATGAAGAACGTCAATCGAAATAGGAAGCCTCGATCGTTTGAAGCTGGAGATTGGGTGTGGGTGCACATGAGAAAGAAAAGGTTCCCTTATCAAAGGAGTTCCAAGATGCTACCTCGAAGTGAAGGTCCCTTCCAAGTGATTTCGAAGGTTGGAAACAATGCTTACAAGATCGATTTGCCAGGAGAATATGGGATAAGTGCAACCTTCAACGTTTCTAACCTTGCACCATATTTGGAGGACAACTCGGATTTGAGGTCAAATCCTTTTCAAGAGGGAGGGACTGATGAGGTCATCAAATCCAAGTCCAATTCATCACACGAAGGTCTAATTACTCGTCTACAAGCCAAGAGATTAAGAGAGGAATTTGCTGCTTATTTGGATCGACATTATGCTCAATTGGACATGGACCAACATCATGGGAAGCCCATTATACGTCTACAATTCGTGGACCAGCATGGAGGCAACTTGGCTTTCAAGGAAGGTGGATATGAAGGCTAGATTTTAAGGAGTTGTTGAATTGGTCTTTTCCTTGTCTTTTAAGGATTGTGTTTTCCTTTTACTTTTCCTTTAAGGTTTTGTTTTCCTTTAATTGTAGGATTTGGTCATTTGTTTGCTTTCTTTCTTAGTTTAGGATTGGATTTTCGTTGCCTATATAAGGAGGATGAGTCCCTCATTGTAATTCATTCTATTATCAATCAACTTTCAAGTTTCAAGTTCAAACGAACTGGTTCTTTGTGCAAGCTTATGTCGAGAGTGCTCCAGAGGTTTCACATGTCTCTTATCAACTAGAGAACGCGTCTAGTTGTGGCGAGCTTCTATCCTATATCAATTGCCCCTTTCCACGAGTTGGTGTTGTCTGATTGGTTTCATATACCAATTGCCCTTCATCACGGTTGGGATTGTCCAATTGATTCCGCATCTATCTTTATTTTTCGAGTTCAAGAAAGGCGACATAAGAAAATCATAAAAAGATCGTTGGAGCTGCGTACTTTCGTTACATCACCCGCACCCGCCGCCTGCACCCTCATCGCCCTGCCGACTCCACCAGCACTCCAGCAGGCAGCAGCAGCTCGTCGCCCTCCCAACACAAGTAGCAGCTCGACCTCCGCCTACACTCGCCGCCGTCGCGCCTCTGCTCCATATGGTGTCCAGATCTGAAATGGAAGAAGGAAGGACGGAGAAGGAAGGAGTGGTGGGTGTTTTCTGTTGTGGGTTTGAAATGGAGGAAGGAGAGAGAAGGAAGAAGTGGTCTGTGTTCTCTTGTGGGTGGAGAGGAAGGAAGGAGAGAGAAGGAGGAAGAAGATAAGGATTTAGTGGTAGGGAATTTTCGTTTTTTTTAGAGAAGGGAGTATTTTTGGATATGCGGCTAACCGAACCAATACTGATAACCGACCGGTCGGTGGTCAGCTAGCCGTGGTGTCCCTCACGGTCGGTGGTCGGCAATAGGAGGTGGTTGCTCGGTTTAACCGATAATCGAGAAATCGGTTTTCGATTAAACCGAAACCGACTGACTAACACCCCTAGTGCCTCTATTAAAAGTGCGGCACCGGTGCAGCCTCTTTTAATTGGGCCACGTGGCTGCTTAAGTAATTTGGCTATGTGTTTCTTAAAGACCAACCCAAATTGACCACACGTCAACCGGCCAGCTGACCTGGAAATTTTTGTTTCGTTTAATTTTGTTTTGTTCAAATTGAATCCTTTTTCCCATTTTTTACCGTCGAGACTTTTTCTTGTTTTGTTTATGGGTGTACAATAAAATAGAACAGAAAATACATAACAATCGCTGCGAGCAGAAGAAACACCACTTCATCCTCTCTATACCTCTATGGCAGAGATCCAACGTTGATTCTACTAGCAAGCGAGCATGTGATATCTCATTCCATCCATGGATAAACTTCAATTCTGGCTGTGTTCTTTAATGCATTAACCTATCTGTCTTGAAGAACATATCTGGGCTCTGAATTGCCGGCGGGTATCTAGAGTTGAAGAGGTGGAGCGAAACCGCTATCATCTTTCATTGGAGTCGGACAGATCTGGAGCTTTGCGCTAGATCCGTTAGTTTATGAATCGTATGTCGCTCTTTCGGCGTTCAAGACAATCTTCGTCTACATGAAATCCATTTGATGGATCCTATGGCTAATCTAGTCTATAATTTAGATTAGAGAGGGAGGCTCACTAGTTCTTGCTACCCCAATACCTGCGCACCAGGGCTATATCAAAGGATAAATTGATTCCCTTCATCTTCCTTATTTCCATAATGTGTCGGTTTCGGTACCCTGGTATCGGACGAAATATGTGCGCTGCTTTCCGGTGATGTTCCTGGGCAAATCCCGACGGATCACTACAGCATATATTGAAGAATTGAATTAGATGTGGGGTCCAAGTACACTACTTGTTTGATTCCAAATTGGTTTCTAACTAGGATCCAAAAACTTCCCTGAATCACTGATGGTCGTCTCATTGGCTATGATTATGTCTTCAAAGCATTCAATTTCTGCATCCACTGCGGGCTAAAAGCCTATCCTTTGTCAAATCTGAAATCGTAATTTTTGAACCTTAATTGATAATGATGCTTGATCGATAATTTAAAAGCTAACTAGAAGTTTCATTTGCTGTCATTTCACGTCCTTCCGATGAGATAATATTATTAAGGGGAATAAATCTTTGAGAAGGTGATCATCAAATTTGATCAATTCTGCAGACAGATTAAGTGGTTTCCTGGAACATTATCCAATTGTTTTCACAGAACTTAACTGTATGCTTTAGTAAATTTGATTGTCTAGACGATTATCTCCGTCAGGGTCATGCCCTGCTCTGTTTTCATTATTCCCGGCGTGGTTATATCGCCGGCGTCCTGGGTTGGAATCTTCGCATTTTTTGGGGCCGGTTGATGGGTGGATTGGTTAGGGTTGAGTTTCGAGAAAGGTATAACCAAATTAGGCAGCCACGTGACCCAATTAAGTGAGGCGGAACCGGTGCCTTAATTTTAACAGTAGCACCGTAGTATTGGCCCCAATTTTATGCTTACCGTTATGATGATGGGCTTCATTGTGTTCGGCCCATCAAATTGGATTTCTTATACTCCTGATGTGTCGTGGGCGAATTGGGCCTATCCAAATGGTAGATCTATTTTATTTGTATGGGTGATTTTGGTAGATGTATTAAGCAGGAAAAAGTTATATATACAAACTACCATGTAATCAAAATTGCCAAAATCCAAAAATATGCTCTCTTATTATAGATTAAAACTTTAAACGGCATAACTATGCATTGGATTATCTGATTGGAGTAATTTTTTTTATCTACATATGAAGGTACAAATATCGTCTTGATTTTCAAATAAGGTCATTTGATACCTCATATATGATCATTTTATAATTTTATAATCTTAAACGATTGTAATTTTGTGCTCTTTTATTCTAACGGGAAAATGTTTTATAATTTGCATAACTTTTCAAGTACTACAATTTTTGTCAGGGAAAATTTAAAAAATGACATATTTATTAATTTTAGCAGTTTTTAGCTGCATATTTATAAAAGTTGTAGTTTTGGAAAAGTCAAAGCAAAAAAGCCTACTGACTTCTATTAGTATTATGTACTTCTTAGAGCATCTCCATTGAAATTGCAATTAGCATTGCATTATGACATGACATTCATTTGTAATTACATTATGCAATTGCATCTTTGCAAGTTTGCATATAATGCAATTATGCAATGCAAGCCACATCATCTTTTTTATTATTAAATTATTCATTAATTTTATTATTTGTAGTGCAATGTAAGTAAAATGAGTTGGATTGAAAGAAATGAAGTAACAATAAAAAAACAAATGAGATGCTGTTATTATGCTCAAGTCAAGCCCAAGTTCAAGCCCAAGCCCGTGCCCAAGGTTCTTGGTAGTTGGTACCGACCTATCGGGCGTGTGGGCCAGCTCCCACTCCTAATCGAACTGTAAACTGAGAATTCTCTAGTGATCAATAGACGAAGAAAGCGAAACTTCAGGGACCTAAGCGACCATTCTGACTAGAATTTTTAAAAGGCAAAATACACTTGTGTAGCCAAAACTTTCACGTTTGTGACACTTATAGCCACTTTTGGCGAAATACCACTTATAGCCACTTCCGTCTAATTCTTTAATGGTGTCAACTAACATGCTGATTGGACTAACAGAAAGGCTGATGTGGCGACACATGTGGAATTAAACAAAAAATAAAATAAATAAAATAAAACTGTAATTTCTTTAAATAAAAATAGCCAAAACAAATTCTCTCCTTCCAATGTGCCTCTGCAAGAACTCGAGCAGATCCACCATTAATGGCGGACCAAAGCAAGCAAGGAAAAAGATGAAGCTTCCACCATGGGATTTTCTCTCTTCTTTTGAAGCTTCCCAAAGTCAAAACAAAAATCTCTCTCCCTCTCATCTACTTCGTCTTCCCCATCTGTCCACCATCTCCATTATCGCCGTCAGAATCACTTCGATAACGGCGACAATGGCGGGACGCTGAATATCCCCTTGACTTCCCCGTCCCAGATCTCCTTCCAGCTCGACAGCGTCAACGGCACCGGTTCCCCCAAACCCTGCGCCACCGGCGGCGACGACTGGTTCTCCGCCTTCACCGCCTTCAAACTCCCCTCACCACCGCCCTCGATTTCCCCAATCTTCCTCTTCCTAATCCCGCCAAAACAACCGCTCAATTCCCCCGAATCGGGGGGGGGGGGGGAATTGAAACTGCCGGAGAGTCCGAATTCCTGCCGGCGTCGAGCGGGAAATGGAGGATCGCCCTGCTGCCGCGGAGGCGGAAGGCGGCGCTGTCGTACCCCTTGGCAGCCTCGACGGCGGAATCGAACGTCCCCAGCCAGACCCTGACCCCCCTTTTTGGCGGGATCTCGAATCTCCGCCGTGTATTTCCCCCATGGTCTCCGGCGAACCCCTCTGGTGGTGGTTGGGATGGTGATTTTGGACATGGGTGGCATCCTCTTGCTCAAAGTACTGCCGCTGCCGCAGCTGGAAGACGGAGAATGAGAAAGTGTCTCTGTTTTGACAGTGGAATTGAGGGGGGTTTGTTGGAGGTGGGAGATGAAGAAAGTGTCTCGATTTGCAGAGATCGCCCCAAATCTTCGTCGGAAGATGGATATGGGTTTGGAAAAGAAGAAGCCGACAACGGGAAGTGGCAATCGCAGATGGAGCAGCTGCAGACGAGTGTTTTTTTTTTTTTGAAATTTAATATATGAATTTTTTCATTTGTTTTTAAATTAAAAATATGACGTGTCATCTACGTGGCAAATGTGGCTGATTTGTCGCTGACGTGTGCGATGATTTGGCGTCCTAGTAAGCCTAACGTTAAACTAACTGACAGAGTCTCTAACACCGTTAAAGTTTGTAACGGAAATGGCTATATTTGGCACAAAAATTTCAAAATTCTGGCTATAAGTGGTATTTCTCCAAATTTGACTATTTTTGTCACAAGTGCGAAAGTTTTGGCTATACAAGTGTAATTTGCATTTTTAAAATTCCTTCATCTTTAAACATTTGCTTTACCCTTTTCGGCACGCCGGCTCCTTGTTCCAATTTCCATCGCCTTCGTTCATCATCTCCTTCTTCTTCTTCTTCTCTCTAATAATTCTTTCCCTTCCATCTCTCTCTCTCTCTTGTTTACAAAAAATCTAAAGCTATAAAACGCGAGGAGATTCTGTTCGTTTATTCTTTGATTCGATCCGCACCCTGCAATTCACGAAACCGATCCCAATCTCCAGTTCCCCCCTTGTTGAAGTTCTTTAGGTTTTGGAAATCGAATTGCGATGGAGAACAATTACAGCAGCAGCAACACCGCCAATTCCAAGTCAGGTCCAGAAGCAGAACCGAAGCCTAACGAGACCGCTACCGCGCTCGTCGCTAGGGAGCAAGAAAACCACCTTCCTAAAGACCCTCTTGTCCCTGCTCCGGTGACTAACGGAGAAGCTGCGGCGGTAGATGAAGATGGAGAAGCAAGCGACGTCGTGGACCTCGACGACGAAGAAGAAGCGGAGGAAGGGGAAGAAGAAGACGAGCGGCAGCAAGAGGCGGCTCCTGCTCGCCAGTCTTCGACAAGGACTCCTTTCACTAATCTTAGTCAGGAAGATGCTGACCTCGCTCTCGCGCGCACCCTCCAAGAACAGGTTTCCGTCCCTCTTTCTTTTTTCCTGTTCTGTTTTCATTGCAATTGAGGTCGGGAGCTCACTGCAATTTCAATAGGTTTATTAGTGGCGAAGGGGTTTGCCCAGTATTAGATAATTTGCGTCTTGGCTCGTCTGTCTTTGTGCTCATGAATTCGGTTTGCAGTTATGTGATAGAACCGTGGTAGCAGTAGCAGTAGCAGTAGCATTAGTAGCCAGGAATCAGGATATGTTTTGTTGAAATACTGGTCCTTTTTTGTTTTAGTTTATGGAGTGCTATCTTTGATGTCGTTGCTTGTGCATTAGGAAAGAGCATACATGATGCTAAGTCGTGCATCAATGAGCCTAGATGGGGAGACTGAATGGGTAGGTGGAAGCTATTTGGGAGAAGATGAAGACGATGACGATTTTGATGACCCTGATGATGAGTATGATGAGGATGATTATGGTGAAAATGAGGAGTTGGGTGAAGGTGGTGTTGATGCTTTTGACGTGCATGCCCAAGCTGATGTTGATGATGATGAACATGGTGGTCCTAACCTTGAAGTAGATGACCCTTCTGCGTTTTCAAGTGACGAGGCTTACGCTAGAGCGTTACAGGATGCCGAAGAAAGGGAGATGGCTGCCAGACTGCTTGCCCTTGCTGGGTTAAATGATAGTCAGTCTTCGCATATGTTTCTTTTTGCTTTTCACCTTGCTTGATCTTTTTTTGTTCATGTACTTTGTCTTATTTGGGGACCATCTGACTTGCTATCTCTTCAATTTTAGGGGCAGTTGAATATGTTGAACAGCCTGGTGGCCATTCTCAGGTACAAATTTTCGACATTGTATGATTTTACACCTCACACTCGCTGTTGGTAACAATCAGTATGTTATTCGTTTTGGTTTTTGCCTAGTTTGAGAAATTTCACCGTATGTATCTTAGGTATTTCGATGCTTATATAATAGTTATCTCTGGTGTGTGTTACACCCCTGAGGTTAATGTGCCTTTAGCTTTGTAAGCCCAGCATGAACTGGAAATAACATTTTTTTTTTGGTTTAGCCAAGGAGGGATAGTTATCACTGGGTTGAAATGTTTGACATTTATGTTGGGTTCCATAGAACTACTGAATTTAATAGTGGCTAAGTAAAGTAAAGCTTATACGGAGCAAATTGGCAGTAGTTATATAATTCCCTTTAGCTCTAGAGAATCTTAAGGGTTATCCACATGTCTGAGGATGATTAACAGTCATTATTTCACGGCTGTTATCAATGAACACACATTAAATGAATAAATGGTGTATTTAGTGTAATTACTCAGTAAATATGGTTTAACTGCGGTCCAGCTAGAGGTACGCATTTGCTTGTATAGAAGTGAAAACAGAAATGTTCAATTTACAGCTTCTTACTTTTTTTGTTTGTTTGGAGGGATAAATCAACATGCTACTATATGCAAATTGACTCATTTTTCCCCAATAAGCATGTGTAAGCTGCCATTTACCACTTTCCCGTAACTAATATGCAGCCCTGGATTGTGCAGGATACATGGGAGGAAGTTGACCCAGATGAGCTTTCTTATGAGGTGAACTACTGCATAACCAACTATGACGGACCAATGAATTTCCTTTTGGTTGTCTGCTTTTCTAATGATTTAAATAACTCTCTTTCAGGAGCTGCTTGCTCTGGGAGACGTAGTAGGAACTGAAAGCAGAGGGCTATCAGCCGACACAATCGCCAACCTGCCTAGCGTGAACTATAAGTCTGGAAGTAACGAGAGTGGAACTAGTGATTCGTAAGTCCTAAAAGTGGATAGTTTAACTGCTGGTTGAATGCTCAATGAGGTTGGTAATGTGAAATTTGAAGTGCTCAGTATTTTCGCAGTTGTGTGATATGTCGGTTGGATTATGAGGATGAAGAGGCCGTGACAGTGCTCAGGTGCAAACATTCGTACCATGCAGAGTGCATCAACAATTGGCTGCAAATAAACAAGGTAATTAACTCGTCGAAATGCCTGAATATGGTCTTCGGTTACATTCACGATTTAGTGTTGCAGTAGGAGCTGGAATCCATGTATAACAGCTGCTACTGGGGTTTGGTGCAGGTATGTCCTGTTTGCAGTACAGAGGTATCGACGACAGGATGAAGCCAGTCGTCCTAGCATTTCTGATAGATTCGTCTGCCAGGAACATGCCCGAAGAGCGGGAGGTCGGTAGAGCCTAGGTTGGAGGATTGGAGAGTAGGGTTGCTTCATTTAAAAGGGTGGGGGAGAGTGGCTAGAGGGCAGCGGAAGGGCAAACGTAGGGACATTTGATACTGTTTTCACTGTATATGTACTATCACTATATGATTCTGGGATCTAGTTTCCGCACGAGTCATGAGACAACTTCTCCGGCTGTATTTCAATTTCAACAGGGAGTAAATTATCACTTCTGGTTCTGGTAATTGGACGGTGGTTTCGTCGTCTCTCTTATCTCTTTCTGGTTCTGTTTAAGCAATCCGGCCAGGATGCTCATAACTAGTCGTGAGCATGTGCTCACAGATGTTGAGCACCGTCAGATCATGCTCATTTTATTTATTAAAATAATACTGCATCCATCTGATAGAAATCTATTTCTTTTCTAGGGTTCTATTGATGGGATTGAGAATTGAGTTAGATTTAGTATTATTGTTATTATTTATAATTGGGAATTGGATCTATTAATAGTGGGTGTGGTTGGCGGCCAGGTTTGGCTAACTGTAACGATTGGGAAAGAAGATCAGACCGAGAACGAGAGGGAGAAAGCAGAAAGAAGAGTTGGGGAAATTGATTATGTAACTTCTTAATCTTTCCATTATAGCAACGTTCCTTTTATAGGACCAACCAAATTACAAAAAAATCCCAAATTAACATTTGTTTACAACTAAGTCCCAATTGTTACACTAACTAGGTTTAGGTGTGTTTATTAGGTTTTCGGGTTATTTGCTATATATATGTTTTTTGGGTTTACGTCAAAATTAATCAAGAAGAATATTAAAACTCTACTAAACCATAATTTTCCAATTCTCTCAATTCTTGATCTTAATTCCTCTAAAGGTCTAGGTCGATTCTTTATCTTCTTCCCCAAATTCCATTCCAAATCCTTAAATCTCCATCAATTCCCAATCCAATTGATAGAACCCTAGAAATATGTTTCTATCACCATCCAACGATCAGTAGGGCATTTAACGCTTGAATTGGCGGTTCACAAATTGTGTGGTGAGAGCAACAACTTGATTGTTGGGCTCGCTTTTTTGTTGGTATGGGCATTTTCCGATCCATCGGAATCATACTTTCATTACCTTGGTTGTCATGTTGGTGGAATGTCGGTCAGGTACAATCAGTTCTGGTCACCAAGCCGGTGTGAACACCATTAATATGATAGGTATAGTCTATTTACGAATTCTCAGCAAAATGACATTATTTAGTGAATTATTATTTGTTTTATGGGGTCAGACTGGTGTACTGCTGGAGTATACTATACTCCAGGTACTTCTAGTGAGATATCTCTATCTAGATCATGAATTAAACCAATTTTTGAGTATTATACTATACCATAACCTCTAATAGATAACCCCAGGCCCCGGTTTTCTAAATTCAAACAAGAATTTACATTTAATAAAAAATAATAATTGACTGTTGAGATTGGTTGGAGCTCATTAAAGTGCACCTAACGGTCACATCACCTTGAGTATAGCAGTCATTACCTTGTTTTATGAATTTAAAAGTTGATATTATTTGTTTGATTCAATTAAAAATATTTAGGTCTTAACGTTGAATATATTGTATTTAAATATAAGTTCGAATGCGACATTTTATGTAATTATGAATATGGATTGTACGGATCGTTTGGATGCATCATTTTGGTTATGTGGTATTTCGAATCAAAATTCTGTATTATTTTGCTATGTGACATTTCATGTGGTATTTCAGTTTCGAATGTGGTAATTTGGTCAATTGTCTTGTTTGGATAAAACATTCATAGAGAAAAGAATGAAGAGAAAAAAAGGTTGAGAGATGAGTGATTTGAAATAATTAAGGGTGGGTAGGTATTTTAAATAACTCATAATGAGTTACTTCAATTGCTCATGCACAAAATACCATACTAATATATTTTATTTTAATATATAAACGCCTAACATTGGAGTTACTATTCATTGGTGGCTCCCAAACTCGTTCAAGTGCAAGTGGGGAGGTTTCAAATTCTTCTTTTACCTCACGCTCTCATTCTATAACATATGTGTTCATCTATTGTCCATCGGGTCTACATCTATTGCCCATTAGGTTTCGCATATTAGTTATTGTCTATTTAAGTTTTTTCATATATTGTTCATTGCTTCCGTCGAGTCAATATATAATTGGAGTTAATATTCATTAGTGGCTTCCAAACTCCATCAAGTGCAAGTGAGAAAGTTTCAAGTCCTTCTTTTACCTCACTCTCTCATTCTATAACTTGTGTGTTCATTTATTGTCCGTCGGGTCTACATCTATTGCCCATTAGGTTTCTCATAGCAGTTATTGTCTATTTAAGTTTTTTCATCTATTGTTCGAGTCAATATATAAAAGCCTAATATTTGAGTTATTATTAATTAGTGGCTCCCAAACTCCTCCACATGCAAGTGGAGAAGTTTCAAGTTCTTCTTTTACCCCACTCTCTCATTCTATAACCTATGTGTTCATCTATTGTCCATCGAGTCTACATCTATTGCCCATTAGGTTTCTCATAGTAGTTATTGTCTACTTAAGTTTTTTCATCTATTGTTCATAGCTTCCGTCTGGTCTACATCTATTGCCCATTAGATTTCTCATAGTAGTTATTGACTACTTAAGTTTTTTTGCCCAAATCATCGCCTTGGCCCATCAATTCGCAACTCATTTCAAAACACTATACGAAATCAATGAATAATAGATGCCACGACTGCGACCCAAGATCCACAATATATATATATATATATATGGTTCAGGCTAGCGTACGGCAGGTGTACACTATACGCTTGTGTTCACACTCAAAAATTAATTATTTTAAAATGACAAATTACAATCGCATCCATTAATTTATTTTTCTATATGATGTAATCCCAAAGCATATAGAAAAACAAAAATTACAATCACATCCATTTAATCAAAATGCCACTTATTTCATATAAAAAACACAGCCCACTTATTTGTGTTTGCCATAAGTACGACCCAAAATCAGGAACCCATTAAAACCAAAGCACACCACAATCTTCCCTGTTGCTGTGTTCCGATCTAAACCTCCCCTGCATATTTGTTCTGCAAGGAAAAGAGCGGTGACACAAATTAACAGTTCAAACACAGCACATAAAACAAGAAACTTAAAAAATTAAACCAATTCACTCTTACTAGATTTTAGAACTGCAGAATTCGCTTGATGATTCAATTGGATATCCTTATCCTTTACACCTCTTAGTCAAACTCCGCTGCAGACTTTGATACAAAACAGAGCACACACGCAACAACAGAATAATTGGAAATTGAAATGCATAATACGAACGGGACACATAGTATTTTAACACCGTTGAGAGATTTAACCTCAACGCTAACTATTCCATGGTTCAAAGTTCAGAATTATTAATGAACTCGTCGATGAGGGCCTCTTCTGCTTGCTTTCCTTCGGTTCTGTTGCTGGGCATAATAATCTCTTCTTGCCTTGTCATTTACCCATCTGAATTACAACTGTTGCAGACCTCTATCATTTTTCTGCAATGCCCATGAAGATTTTATTTGGAGATGTGCAATTATACAGATGTAATTATTCAAATGTTCCAAGGATTTCAAACAAGCAAGACCCTCAATCTCCCACATATTTGGAGCATCAGTGACGGATAACAATTTTAATTGCTTCAACGACACCATCCTTGGAACAATTGCATATGTATAATTGCTCATGCATCTTTGGAAAGGCTGGCTGCGGATGAGCTATCAGGTTTGAAGAAATTGAGGAAGGAAGAGGTTAAAGGTTTCTCGCGGCAACCAGAGTGATGGCATTCAAAGGGGACGTTTTTACTCCGTTGTGCGGCATTCTTGAGGAAGGCAAAGGAATTGAGAAGGAGGATTTAACAAGGGTAAAAAAGATTAGGAGTTAGTGGGTAATGGAGGTTGAAGGAGATCGAAAAAGACAAAGGATAATTAGCAAGGACGATGGGTGGGATGGGGGTAAAAGTAATTTGAGTGTTTAAACTCCAGATTGGGAGAATTAGTTACATACTATACAATGATTATTTAGATGAATGATTTTTGCATAGGATAAAAAAGATTGAGTGACTAAAATGTACAAAAATTAATTAATTTGCGCAATTGAAATTATAATTACCAATTTACCATTTATAATTATTTAATTATAACTAAAAATTTAATTACAAGTGTGAACACAGACATACAGTGTACGCCTGATGTACGCTAGCCTTTGCCATATATATTATGCACAATCTTCGCCTTCGCCCACGAATTCACAACCCTTCTCCAAACATTGTTGGTGGAAACCTAATTTGTAACCATCCACCGTGTCCCAAGACTACTATAGAAAAATCCATACTAAATTTGCTTTGTGTTGCTAAGTTTTGTATCGGGATCGAGTTTCATATTTTTTAGCATTTTCTTATTTCTCTTTTTTCCTTTTGGCTAAGCATGACAATTGAACTCAAGCTCATGGGTATCCAGCCTAATTCAACTAGGTCAAAGCGACTTGAACCTGACATAAGTATTTTTAAAATTTTATCTTTTTTCTTATGTTGAGAATGATATTGAACTCAAACCCATGGTATGGACGAGTTTTGTATCGAGAGCTAGTTTTATTTGCTTTTGTAGTTGGCAGATTGGGTCCAGTGTGAATTTGTTTGAGCTCTCGATTCAACCAGGTCAAAGCTAGCTGAACACGGTGTTGACGAGTTTTGGATCGAGAGTGAGTCTTGTCTGCTTTAATGTTTTTTATTTCTTATTTTCCTTTTGGTTGAGAATGACAATTAAACCCAGACCCGACGCTAACGAGTTTTGTATCGAGAGTGCGTTTTATCTGCTATTAGAATTGGCGTGTTGAACCAAGTTTGAATTGTTAAAAACTCGGTTCGAACTAGTCAAGGCGAGTTGAGCTCGGTGTGTAGAGTTTTTGGTAGGGGGTGAGTTTTATCCGCTTTACTGTTTTTATTTATCTTTTTTCTTTTGGTTGAGCACCCAAATCAACATGTATCCTTATAAAAAAAACTAGCTTTGTACCCGGTCCGTTGGCCGGGTAAATTTTGTTTGAAATATATTTTCTGGAATATTGTTCTCCTACATTGTCTATTTTTTTTAGGCTATCATTGTCGTCTCTCATCCCGAATCATGTGTACCTTTGAGCTTATCAGTTGGCCGGAAGTGATTTTTCTTTAAGGTAATTTAGTTTGTACCACACGACAATATTTTAACACCCATGAAATTGTTGTGCATTATTATTATGATAGTACAAAATTAAACATTGATATAATTTAGTAACTCATTAGAATAAGAAATTTGTTTGTGATCTATGGTAGTATATACTTTATGACGGTAGAATCGAATGATATTGATATAGTTTAGCAACTATC